TGTCTTTCTTCCTCTTCAGCTTTGAGTCTTTCTTCTTCTTCAGCTTTAAGTCTTTCTTCTTCTTCAGCTTTAAGTCTGGCTTCTTCCTCAAGTCGTTGTCTTTCTTCTTCTTCAGCTTTGAGACGAGCTTCTTCTTCAGCTTTAAGTCTGGCTTCTTCTTCAGCTTTAAGTCTTTCTTCTTCTTCAGCTTTAAGTCTGGCTTCTTCTTCGGCCTTAAGTCTGGCTTCTTCTTCAGCTTTGAGACGAGCTTCTTCTTCAGCCTTAAGTCTGGCTTCTTCTTCAGCTTTAAGTCTTTCTTCTTCTTCAGCTTTAAGTCTGGCTTTTCTTCGGCCTTAAGTCTGGCTTCTTCTTCAGCTTTGAGACGAGCTTCTTCTTCAGCCTTAAGTCTGGCTTCTTCTTCAGCTTTAAGTCTAGCTTCTTCTTCAGCTTTAAGTCTGGCTTCTTCTTCAGCTCTTTGTCTTTCTTCTTCTTCAGCTTTAAGTCTGGCTTCTTCTTCGGCCTTAAGTCTGGCTTCTTCCTCAAGTCGTTGTCTTTCTTCTTCTTCAGCTTTGAGTCTTTCTTCTTCTTCAAGTCGTTGTCTTTCTTCTTCTTCAGCTTTGAGTCTTTCTTCTTCTTCGGCCTTAAGTCTGGCTTCTTCCTCAAGTCGTTGTCTTTCTTCCTCTTCAGCTTTGAGTCTTTCTTCTTCTTCGGCCTTAAGTCTTTCTTCTTCTTCAAGTCGTTGTCTTTCTTCTTCTTCAGCTTTGAGTCTTTCTTCTTCTTCGGCCTTAAGTCTTTCTTCTTCTTCAAGTCGTTGTCTTTCTTCTTCTTCAGCTTTAAGTCTTTCTTCTTCTTCGGCTTTAAGTCTGGCTTCTTCCTCAAGTCGTTGTCTTTCTTCTTCTTCAGCTTTGAGACGAGCTTCTTCCTCAAGTCTTTGTCTTTCTTCTTCTTCAGCTTTGAGTCTTTCTTCTTCTTCGGCCTTAAGTCTGGCTTCTTCCTCAAGTCGTTGTCTTTCTTCTTCTTCAGCTTTGAGTCTTTCTTCTTCTTCGGCTTTAAGTCTGGCTTCTTCCTCAAGTCGTTGTCTTTCTTCTTCTTCGGCCTTAATTCTTTCTTCTTCTTCAGCTTTAAGTCTGGCTTCTTCCTCAAGTCGTTGTCTTTCTTCCTCTTCAGCTTTGAGTCTGGCTTCTTCCTCAAGTCTTTGTCTTTCTTCTTCTGCTTTGAGACGAGCTTCTTCCTCAAGTCGTTGTCTTTCTTCTTCTTCGGCCTTAAGTCTGGCTTCTTCCTCAAGTCGTTGTCTTTCTTCTTCTTCAGCTTTGAGTCTTTCTTCTTCTTCGGCCTTAAGTCTGGCTTCTTCCTCAAGTCTTTGTCTTTCTTCCTCTTCAGCTTTGAGACGAGCTTCTTCTTCAGCCTTCAGTCTGGCTTCTTCTTCAGCTTTAAGTCTAGCTTCTTCTTCAGCTTTGAGTCTAGCTTCTTCCTCAAGTCTTTGTCTTTCTTCTTCTTCAGCTTTAAGTCTTGCTTCTTCTTCAGCTTTGAGACGAGCTTCTTCTTCAGCCTTCAGTCTGGCTTCTTCTTCAGCTTTAAGTCTAGCTTCTTCTTCAGCTTTGAGTCTAGCTTCTTCCTCAAGTCTTTGTCTTTCTTCTTCTTCGGCTTTAAGTCTGGCTTCTTCCTCAAGTCGTTGTCTTTCTTCCTCTTCAGCTTTGAGTCTTTCTTCTTCTTCAAGTCGTTGTCTTTCTTCTTCTTCAGCTTTGAGTCTTTCTTCTTCTTCAAGTCGTTGTCTTTCTTCTTCTTCAGCTTTGAGTCTTTCTTCTTCTTCGGCCTTAAGTCTTTCTTCTTCCTCAAGTCTTTGTCTTTCTTCCTCTTCAGCTTTGAGACGAGCTTCTTCTTCAGCCTTCAGTCTGGCTTCTTCTTCAGCTTTAAGTCTAGCTTCTTCTTCAGCTTTGAGTCTAGCTTCTTCCTCAAGTCTTTGTCTTTCTTCTTCTTCAGCTTTAAGTCTTGCTTCTTCTTCAGCTTTGAGACGAGCTTCTTCTTCAGCCTTCAGTCTGGCTTCTTCTTCAGATTGATGGTTATCGAGATTTTCAGATTCATTTTCTTCAACTTTAATATCTCTGGATTTGATTGTTTCATCGATTTCTTTATTTTCTTCCTTCTTATCTTGTGAATCATAGTCACTATAGTAATAATCTGAAGAATATTCGATCTTTTGTTTAGATTCTTTTTTGGCTTCTTCTTCTGCCTTTTGCTTGGCTTCTTCTTCTGCCTTTTGCTTGGCTTCTTCTTCTGCCTTTTGTTTGGCTTCTTCTGCCTTTTGCTTGGCTTCTTCTGCCTTTTGTTTGGCTTCTTCTTCTGCCTTTTGTTTGGCTTCTTCTGCCTTTTGTTTGGCTTCTTCTGCCTTTTGTTTGGCTTCTTCTTCTGCCTTTTGTTTGGCTTCTTCTTCTGCAGCTGATGCAACAATTGGTTGAGAAACTTCGGCTGAAACTTCTATCTCACGCGACTTTGTTTCTTCTGCTTTTTCTGATTTGTCTTTATGTTTGTGATGTTTCTTTTCTTCACCATCAGCCTCTGTTTTCTCCGATTTATCTTTGTGTTTATGATGCTTCTTCTTATCTCCTTCCCCTTCTGTAGCTTCGGATTCTTTCTTTTCGGATTTATCTTTATGCTTATGTTTGTGTTTCTTGTCATCACCTTCGACTGATTCGGATTTATCTGCATCAGCAGTTTGACTTTTATCTTTATGTTTGTGGTGTTTCTTGTCCTTTTCTTCTTTAGCTTCACCTTCTGGAACTTTTTCTACTTTTTCTTCACCGGCTGCTGCTGAAGATTTATCAGCTTCAGCAGTCTGGCTTTTATCTTTATGTTTATGGTGCTTCTTTTCTTTCTCTTCTTTTTCTGGTGAATTTGAAGCTTTTCCTGATTGCTCAGCTGCAGTTGTAGATGTCGAATTTTCATCAGTTTTAGATTTCTCGCTTTTATCTTTATGCTTATGTTTCTTCTTTTCTGAACCATCATCTGCTGCATCTTCTTTATCTTTTCCTTTCTTTTTCTTCTTAGAATCATCATCTTTTCCTTTCTTCTTCTTTTTCGTAGAAATAAGTTCGTTGGCTTCTTCTCCACCATTATCGTTGATGTTAATATCTGTCAATTCATCGTTACGCAGTGTATTTTGGATTTCAGGTAATTCCGATTTAGCAGTAACAAATGTAAAGTAACGTTCTGGCGGTCCATCTGGAAAGTCCGATTCTGGAAGAACCACAATACGTAAGTAAAGCGTTGCAATACCGAATTCGCATTTTGTCATAGATGTTTGTACGGATGAGTCTTTTGGATCAAGTAAGTTTGCAGCATCGAACTTCCATGTGCATACTTGATGTTCGGGTTCTTTTTTCGACATAATTGCCAAACAAGATACTTCGAGCATTTTCTTTTGCGGTTCTTCGCCCTTTTTTGTAAAAATAGTTATTGGAATCTGGAATTCATTGTTGAATTGCACAATGTTGCTTTGGTCTGCAAGCTGAAAACTAGTCTCAGAGCTATATGCAGTCTTAAATACTCCACCAGATGATTTTTTCCTTGCAACACGTATAAAAACGGGTACATCTACCTTTTTCGAGAATGTTATCTTCTCAATTAAGATAAAACAATGATGAGGTGTAGATTTATACCCAATATGAAACATTATTGCCACTTTTTAGAAAAAATTTTATGGTAGATGGCATCGATATTTCTCGGATCATGGAGTCGCTATTTCCTTGACATCGGAGTTGACATTCCATTGCCAGCTATCAATACTAGTTATCTACAGCTCTAAATTACATTCAAACTTCAGCAAATATTACAATTTTGAATCATACTCGATTATATAAAGCTTCAATTTATAACATATCCGTATGAAATACTCATGTTGAAACCATTAATTCAATATGAATTGCAGTTTACGAACTTAAAAAAATATCAAGCAATTGAGCAAGTCAGCAATAACTTCATTTGACCTAATATTTGCTTAAAACATCATTGTGAATTATATATACTGAATTGAATCTATTTATATTGTTTTTGAAATCTTCCATTGATAAGCAAAGTTATTATAGGGAATATTACAAGGATGAATACATCTGAACTACTAACTTTCGTTACAGAGTAAAAGTTATTTTGAGCTGAAATTCTGATTTTTGTGAAATTTATGTAAAATTTCTTAATAAAAGCTAGGTATTGTTTCGGAACATTTTGCATTTATTTGTTGCTTATGTGCAATTCTTGAATGATAAGTCAGATTCTGACTAATAAGCATTTGAATCCCTCTTATTAATAGTAAACTGTTTAAAAATTACATAAAATGAGTTTCTTCTGTGTTACAGCGCTATTTAATGCTATTTTATGGTAATTGGTAACGTTTGAAAAATCCAAAAAAATTAGAAAATACTTGACGGATTTTCAATGAGCCGCCTCAAAAATTGAATTACATTCAATTTAAAAGAGGCTAAAAATTGAAAATTCTTCAAGTATTTCATCATATGTCGGAAATTGAATTTCATTAAATTTCCGACATATGATGGGGAAATATTTTTTCAAAGAGAAAAATACAAAATTTATATGGAAATCATGAAAACTAAAAATTTGGAATTCTAAACTATCTTTATTTTGTCTCTAATACCTTTTTTTGTTCAAAGAGAAAGCGTTATATTATTAAAAATCAAGAATTTGATTTCGGATCGACAAGAATAATCGGTAAAACCTTTTGTTCATACATGGAATGACCATAGATAGGGCTGTACATAAGCGGTAAGCTTAAGATTATCTATTTTTTCTCTATATTCTACCTCATATTTCACATTTCTTTTAGAAAATAAACAAAACAGTTCATCAATCATATTAAAAGGTTAAGCTATATTCCGTCTGTATTCGATTATGATCTGATTTATTGAAAGGAGAAATCCAAATTTTGACATAAAAAATGAAAATTAAAATAATTTTCTTTCTAATATGATAACAGGTCGATATAATGTATCTTCTTTCCAATTCAATTTTGAATGGACTATCAATTCTTTACACAGAATAATAACTGCTATTACACAATTCATCAAACTAGTTACGATAAATCCATTTTCTGTTTATTTTCGGATTCAAAAAATTTTGATAGTTTGATGCCTGAAGCATTTCTCTGGTGGAATGCTGTCGTAAATTACGAAGAAAATCTAGATACTCCTCCAGAAAGACCAGGCATTACTGAGATGAATATTATATGGCAGGAATTATCTCCGATTTTTCATACTCATTGTAATGAAGGCGAATCCGAAGAAATGTACTGGGAAGATGTTTACAAATGCCTTTGCACGTTAGCAGACAATCAAAATGTTGGTGACCCAAGAACAGATTTCTCAGCTTTTGTTGAGAGCTTGTACTCTTATAGAAATTTAATAAAAATCACTGACTTAGATGGCGCAATATACTACGCACAACGCTTTTGTCCCAAAGAAAATTCTAATTTCTTTGTTCACGAATTTCTTTTTGCTGTTTCTGATCCATTTTTAACCGTAGAAGCAATAGACAAGCTTAACTCTTTAAATATCGAACCATGGAAATCATACATTCAGCAACCAGGCGCAATTGAACGTATATTTGACTTATTTATTACATTTCTTCAACCAGCTAACAGAACAGTTGAAAATGAGTATGAAAGCTTCAGAGTAATGCTTGCAAATCTCATGACAACATTAATTTGCGAATCAAATAACGAAGTCTTCAGAAAACAACAATATGCGGCAAGTTTATACTCCAGATTACTTAACCTGATTATTTACTCTCAAACAGATGCATCTGTTTCATTTGCTCGTTGCGCAATTCAACTGAATAAGAAATTTCTCAAAGAATATGATGCAGATGAAAGAGCTAAACGTATTGTAGCACTTTTAAATGCATCAACATCAAACAAACTATCGCATGCAATGACTACTTTATTTGCTGTTTCGCAAGGTTCAATAACTATACCAAATTACATCTTGGCACAGCAACTCTCGAAGAATATACAGACAGAATTCGATTTGAATACGGTTGTTTCTATAAACAGAACAGGAAAAGAAGCAAAATTTATTGTTATGCGTTCTGTTGCACAAACAATGGTCCAAAGCAAGCTTTTGATGAGGTTGGCTGCAAAGTATTTAGTAGAAATAATGAGTTCACTCGAAGATCAAGATTTAATTGAATGGATTCAAAAATTCTTTTTGTTAATTTTCGTTTACATCAAGATTGCATCGAAGAAAGAGAAGTACATCAGAAGATTATTGATGCTATGCGAGATCATTTCAACAGAACAGTTCTTATCCGCAACTTTTGCTAAAAAAATCATTTTACCATGCGCCAACACGTGTTACCTCAAAGGCGGATGCGATTTCTTAACATATTACTTCCCATTGGGATCGGATCTACCCCAATCTAATACTTATTCCAGAGAGTTGTCTCGGTACGAGAAAATGCGTTTTAAATTAAAAACATTTCCATTCAAAAACAACTCAAACATGCTTGTCGAAGGATCTCGTAATAGAAAGAACTCAAATGGCGAGGTTCCTTTGGAGATGAGAGCTATTATAAACGATTTTGCAGATTTAGGAATTTCTGAACGAGCAAAACCCTATTTATATCGCAGATCCAAACTCTCCGTCATAGACCAGCAGAATACCATCTTTACTCTTGAAGATTTTATTGATCAAAACAAATCAAAAGCGGAAAAGATCAAAAACAAATCGCGCCATAAGAGAAGCAGCGTAAATCCAGATCTTTTCACTACAGAAGGCATTCTCCCTATCACAGGATTGCGTTCCTGCATGTACGCAAACGAAGCTCAATTATATGACTTCCAATACAAGATTTTAATGGATTTTACCAACATAGCCCATGAACTCATCAGTGTACTGAAACAGTTACCAGGTTTAAACGCCGATATACGCCTTCTCCAGTACGATATGCAGCATTTCGGATTAGAAGACAATTATTACAAATCACTGAAAGACCAGAGAGCACAGCTGAGGAAACTGATACCGATATACTCCAGGAAGTACACTGCTCCTAAGTACATCGAAGAGATTTTCGGTGTTTTGTCTCAAGGCGGCGTAAAATTCGACCAAAACCTTCAGTACGCGCCTCCAAACGAGCTAGACACCGTCCTTGTCGAGTACATACAGAGGAGCTCCTACAAAGAGATCATGAATGCCACCGCGATGATCATTGAAGACGGAACACTCGATGGAGCTGTTTCGACAATTTGGGAATTGAATAATTCTATCATTGAAGACTTAAAGATGACATTTAACCAGAACGCAATGATCCTCTACATGTCCCTTATCAGAGCCATCTTCGACAACGCGTACGCATTGAATCCAAGACCTCATTTGAACAGGTACTCAAAAGCCAACAAAGAATTCTTAGAAAAAGCTCGAAAATTCATAGAACAACCGATTTCTCTTCTCAATTTGAGCGAAACCATTGTTGGAGCTAAAAGAGTGAACCAGCCAATATACTCTTTGATGCTCAGCTCAAAGTATTCCTTCGAGCATATCCAGTTCTTAACAAATCCAATTGATATTTTATATCAAATTCATCTTCAGTGCCAACAGCTGTTTCAGCTGTCATCAACAGGAACTCTCTCGCCTCCTGATCATCAGATGCTCATTTTGGCTCTTGTTGCTTCGACTCCGCCGTCAAATGCAGTAAGTATTGCAATTTTCCTAGAAAAATGGGGAAACTTGTTTTCAAATGCTACTCTTTCGAAGTCAAAGCGTATGTTTATTGATGCGGTTTCAGGAATCATCAATATTGTAAAAATTACAGACGATTCTTAAATTTTGTATAAATGTATATTATATTATTTGTTTTAAATCATTATTTTTTTCATTACGTACCCATGCAATGTTTATAATACTTGTGCTTGAATTTATCAATCGGAACATAAAAAATTTGATCTAAAAATTGAGGAAAAGATCAGATCCATATTATGGCATTATAAAATATTGCTATATCCTGAACCGGCTATTTACTAATTTAAGAAATTCCGATAAATTATTTTTGTTTTTCAAAAAAATGGGCTATACATGGACCAGTTCACGGAGAATATCTCATTCGATAAAATCTATGATATATGAAACCATATAATTTGACCATTTCTGATTACAAAATAACAGTTTCGGATATTCTGAAATTATAAAATGTATAGATGATTTATTATATCTAAAAAGAGTGTAATAAAACAAACGACAATTTTTAACAAAACCTATATTATGGAAAATTGAAATTCCAGTTTGATATAACATTTTCATCTTCGATGCAATTGAATAATGAGTTAAAGGCGATAATTTCCTTTGATCTCATATCTTCTTTATCTGTATCATTTGGTACGATTTGGGTGACAATCTTGGATTCTGGTTTGGGACTACTTTCTTTTTCGGGCGGAGATGGTGCATTTTTAGATGTTACCCTCTTCCACTGTTCAGGATCGTAATCTCCATCAGCTAAACCGAAGAAAATCGCTCTTCGGTCGATTCTGTGAATTGGCTTTGTTGGCTTGTATTTACTAAAGACGTCGCTATGGGTTAATGAAAGAATGACTCGTAAATAATCACCACATTTTGCAGAAATTTCTTTGAAGAGATGATGATCGTTAATTCGAAGTGAACTTTCAATTTCAGCAGCTGCTAAAGGCCTTTTAGCCTCAGTTATTGCTTGCATAGCTCGCTCGCGTAGTTTAGCGCTTGTATGCGAACCATTTTGCTTCGATGATGACATTAAAAAAATATTGAGACATAGACATATTGAAACATATTGAATTTTTAATTTAATTTTGAAAACCCGTAAATTATGAGCACAAGAAATTAGACACGAAATCGTCGGAATATTGATATGTGACCTATGTTGGTCATATATCAAATGAAATGTCTGTCAATACAAACTTGTTGAAAATATATTTAATATTATTATCAAAGAGAATGTTGTAATATGCATGGCAAAAACAACGGTCCACTCTCAATTAGACGATGGGTTTTCAAATTTTTAAAGGATTATAAAAAATTAGAAAATCAAGGATTAAGACATACAAATGATATCTTTTTTGTTATTATATTTTTGAAATTTATCGGCATTGATTTTTTCAAATTATTGAAAACTTTATATCTTAAATATTTATAAATTATTAATATATTTGATTTCTAAATTTCGTAAGTATACATAATTTGAATTAGCACTCAATTTGAATCATAATTCTATTAAAATTTATCGATACGGTTGTTTTCTGAAAAACTAATTGAAATTTTGAAAAGATTCAAATTTCTTGTCTTTTCTTTAGGAGATTATGTAATATATATAAAATTTTAGAATCTAATAATTTCGGAAAATACTATGCTATTTCAATTTTTCCGCATCATTCAAATTTCAATTCATCTCGGTAATGATAATTTGATCAAAATACCATATTTGTCAATCATCTTCTCAAAATCGTATCTTACATCTTTTGAGTCAAGTTCGATTAAATTTGCCTTCTCAATTTTTATGAATTATTTCGACATTTCTTCCTTTCTTTCTTTTTGAATGTCAATCATTTTCTAAAATTATTGGCAAACTCCTTTGAACTCATATACATCAAATTTTTCTAAAGAATAATGCATTTTACAATATAAGTTTTAACTCTTTAACAATTTTAACATTTCGCGAGTTTATTAAATTTTTATGAAGAGATCCTCTCTAATTTTATCAAATGCCTTACCATATTTTTATTTAACAGCCTAAATTAAAATATAACGGTAATCCAACTACCTTCAAACCTGTTAAATTATTTTTCTATTTCCAATGAATTTTTAGAAATTCAGCTTCCAAATTCCTATATTTTTATTCATATGATGAAACCACTGCATCCTCAACATACAAGCCTTTTTAACTCAACTAATTTGTTATTCTGTTCAAAAAATACCACACTATATTTTACTAGAAAGAGAAATGATAGTGATATTTTCTAAATATGATATTGTGTCTATATTTTATGAAAGTTAAATACGAATACGATATCTTTAAGAACAGATTCACATATGTAATCATTATATTAACATAAAACTTGCAAACTGTCTGTTTATGCTAAATTTCATTAAAGCTTATAATCGTTGAATATTTTATAAAAGAATTTACAAACAAGAGATAAAATAATTTCGTATAAGGCACTTGAGTTCATATTGAAGCGAAGAGAAGAGTAAATATATTAATTTTTGACCCTATAAAGCTCTTATTGACATAATAAAAGTTTTTTTTGTGTTGATAATCTTAAACGTAAAGTTATTGCGTGGTTTAAGTGATAATACGTGCAAGGTATTTCTCCAGTAGTTACTAGTGAAGATACAAAATTCAAAATAATTTATGAAAATGTATCTTCTTTTTGTTCTATCGAGTATATTTGCTCAAGGCCATCCCTCTCCTGCTTTGATGCAAAGCTTTGTATAAATAGAAAATAATTTGTCTGAACATCTTTCAAACTTTTCTGTAATATAGCGCCTGCTTTAATTCTCTCAGCTACTGAGGGTATTCTATGTAATAGTTGTGCTATTTCTGAATACGAAAGATAGTATCGTTTCATATCTTCAAGAACAAGTTTTGTATCATTCCAATTTTCACACCTTGCTACAGTGTTAACCACTTGTTGAAATTTTTCTGGCGTTATTTTCGTTACTTCAATTTTCTCAACGTTTTTCTTTTTCTCGGGTGGAACGTACGGTGATAATACAAATCCCTGCTTCTTTGGTGGTGACTTTTGTCTCTTTTTAGTCGATTTCTTTTTCTTATTCAGTTTTGGTGCAACAGAGATTTTAACTTTCTTTGACATCGATATCGATATTGTCACTTTTCGATAAATAAAATAAATTTACAACTGAGTCTTGCCTTAGAAGTCATATGGCACCGGATATTCTTGCGTTTAAAAATGTCAAGGCCACATCGTAGACATACAATTTAGTGACATTTTAACAAATAAAATCATCAATTTTAAAAGTATTTCGTTTATTCAAATATATTGAGCAATTTTGCTAAATACCATTTGTTATATATTTCAAATCAAAACTATAGACGTGTGTACTTTATGATCAGTTGTTAAGCTATAAAGATTTTTTTTTATATTCGCATGATGACAATTCCAAATTTCATAAAATATATTACATTATCAATTCATCAATAATTGTACATTTTGAACCACCCAAAGGGATGAGGATATATAGATCTTCATTTGAGACATAATATTGCATTTGCTGAGTTTGTTGTTATCTAATTATAAAGGATTTAAATCCAAAAATACTACTCATAAGCTATAAATATATGACATCGGCATAAAAAATTTAAATTTAAGACCGTTTTTCTTAATTTATACCAAATTTGAATTTTTCTGTATATCATAAGATAAAATATATACTAATCGATTATCAAATTTATAAATGTGGAATCAAAATTATGGCTTTCCTCCTTATAATGCTGCTGATTACCAATTTCAAAATCAACCTCAATATCAAGGGTTAAACCAACCTCCTCCTCAGCAGCAATTTATGAATGAAGAGCCACTAGATTGGAATTTAATTAAATCTATTGATCCCATTTCATTAGCAAGGAACGGAAATATCACGGAATTACATCCATTTATATCACAATACATCGAAGCAGATTTTGAAAAATGCAATTCTCGATTAATTAATCATCCTTTATTAATTCGTTTATGTTTAATACTTCAATATGCACTTCATTACATGTCAGACGTGCAAAAACAAATGCAGAAGAAGATTGAAAGCCAAAAGAAAGAAACTAAATCACTTAATGAAAAACTCAAAAAATTATTCCAAAGTTATAAAAAGTTAGAAGAACAATCTAAAAAGAAATCAACAAATTTCGAAAGATGTCCTATTTGCAGGAAGAAATACAAAAATATTGGATATTTAGATAAACATATCCACAAAGATCATCAACCATACGAAAATGCATGGCTCCAAATACGAAATATGTCAATTCCTAATCAACAAATTCCAGTTCAACAACCAAATCAAAATAATGAAATTATGAAACTCGTAGAACTATACAAAGAGCTTAAAAATCAACTGGATGCTGAAAGGATGGCACGCGAGAATGCCCAAGATAGAGAAATGAAGCAAAAATCGAATAACCGAGTCGAAGAATTAGAAGCACAGTTAAATCACACTCAGACACTAATTTCCGAGGCTGAAAGCAAACAAAGTAACCTTGAGAAAACAATTCATGACGAAATAAACGAGTCATTATCAATTGCTTGCGATGGACTTGAACAATCATGGGCAGAATGGGAAAGAACATACGGATCAGTCCAAGAAATCAGAAATCCACCAATGCGCCAACAATCTCCCGTAAAAGTTACACTCGAACAAGAATTTGAATCTATCAACGACAAAAACAAACCAACAGCAATGTGGGCCACACAATCATCATTACTAGGAAATGATTTAGAAGTTTCACAGCAATCAGAGCATTCTTTGATGGAAACTGATCGAAAAGAATTTGGATCTTCACAACAAGTTAGTCGACAGTCAGTAAAGAGTGTTCCTCCAACAAACATCCAATCTATGTTCTGCAAATCACCAAAACAAGATGCTGAAATCATAAATCGTGCAAAAGAAATTTTATCCAAGCGTAAAAAGCCCTCAGAGATTACAGAAGACCAGATATCCAATGTCTCATCATTTATTTCTGATCAAGTACGATCAACAATTGAGAGTATGAGCAATCAACAAAATCCAGAGTTAATTAAAATTGTTGATCGCGATTTGAACATCAAAGAATACGATATTGTCCATAAGCAATTGAAGGAAGAGCTCGATAATGAGATACCTCTTCCAAATCAGTCTGCTTCAATGATATCTGATGCTCCATTCATGGAAAACAGGGAAAAGCCCGTTTACAATCCATCTCTTCTTGATACATTGAATGAGAATTCCCATATTGAAGGTTCTCTGATACACAACGCTGATTTAAGTGATGATGACGACGAAGATTTTGTTATTGATAAGTCAATCAAGCAGCCAGAGAGACTTCCTCAAATAGAATCGACTGTTTCTGAATTTGATGAGTCAGAACACTTCGAACCACCAAAGAAACAAGAACCAATCAAAGAATCTAAAATTTCAAATTCAGAATCTAATCATTCAGAAGAGATATATGAGGAAGAAGATTATGAAGAGGAAGAGGAGTACTACTACTCTGAAGAAGAACCACAAAACCAAAGAAAATTCGAAATCCAAAAACAAGAAGAAATTCAACAACCAGAACCCGTAAATAAAATACAATCCTTTTTCAAGGGAACTCTGAAGCCATCAAATTCATCATTCGAGCGTCCTAAATCCCCACAAAAGAAAATTGAAAATCGAACTCCTCAAAATTCACAAAATTCTTCACAGATAAGTGAATCATCCCGCTTAAAATCAGAAAAACCATCTCCTGAGAAGAAAGTAAATCCAAATTACCCACCAAATCTGTTTTCAATATCTGGATACGAAAATGCACAACAAAGTCCGGAGAAACAGCAAGATCCAGGGAATATACAAAAATCTCCGCCTCATCTCAAGTCAATAAACCCATTCCAACATGAAGTTTATGAAGATGTCAACAGATCTGTCTCAAAAGTACCAGAAGAAGTGAATTACTTTGTTGCACAAGAGTCATTATCAGAAGAGGACTTTGAGGAAGAGGAAGAAGTACTAGGAAACACAATGAAGAAGCAATTGATGCTCGGAGAATTTAGAGAGAAATCAGATAAGAAGAGAAACGAAATAAACTTCGATGAAGACACAGATGAAAATGAGGAAGGAGAACTTAAGTTCGAGGACCCACCGCTCATGACAAAAGATCACCCTTCAGATGACTTTTTCAGCGTTGATGAATGGAATTAATATTTTATATTTTTATATTTTTTTTTCTGTTTTAAAACTTTTTTTATTTGTCTAATTTAGTTATATTTAGTTTTCTTATTTTTCACTATATCAATATGTGATATTATCAAGAATGCGAGTGATTGACGAAAATGTAAAAAGCTTTTGAATATTTTGTATCAAAAGACATTTTATTCGCATACAAATTTTCGATTCTAGTCTAAGCTATACTTTAAATTAACTCTCCACTTTTAAAAGTCCTTTGTGAGGTGAATTTAAACTGGACATTCAATTGGTTTTTTTCAGACAAAATATAAAACTCATTAAATCAAAAACTCCGATTCTATTCCCCAAGCTAAAACATTTCTAAAAAATGGAATTTCAACTTTTGATAGAATCTTTTCTTAAGAAAAATTTGATTGAATGGAGATTTTTGAGTCATAAGATATGATTTCCAAGAAGAAATATATTTATTCTGATTATATATAAAACATGTATTTAATAGATTCAATTACTTTGGTAAAATAAAGTCCCGAGATTCGACAAGGACTTTATCAATCAGGTCAAAGAATTCATCATCATTATTCCAATACTGAGCTCTTTTTGCCTGCTCCTTTGCGTTTCTTAATTTGAGGGCTTTTGGAGTGTTTCCATTAAGCACATGTTTATAGTGATAGCGGCACTGGACATCCGTTCTGGTTTGAAGACAATTTGCTATGCTTGTCCATGCTTTTGTACCATACTTTTCTACTGCTTTGACAAGGATTTCTTCCTCTTCTTCGGTCCAAGCGGATTTATCAATACAGGGATTCAAAGTCCTCTCCCATCTCTGTGAACACTGTGATTTTGTCCTATTATTGCCAACATATTTTGCAACGAGTTCATAGTCTTTTGTACCATACTTATGAACTGCCATTACTAACCTTTTATCTTCATAGTCGCTCCACGTACAGACGAACCTCTTTTTGGAGTATGTTTTCTCTTCTTTCTTACATGTAAATACCGGAACATCATCTCTGTCTGTTGCAAGAATTTCCAGACATAACAACAGGGGATTGAGGCTAAGATCGAGTTTCATAACTAATTCTTTGCATTGCTCAAGAGAATAATGTCCATTAATATATTTGCTTAAAATCGCTTTGTACTGACGAATCAAGCGTTCGTCTATGGAGTTTTGGGATACTAGTTCTTTTAAGCAATAGAGCTCAAGAATATTGGAGTTCCAAACCATTATGAAAAAATGGACTTTTTATTTTCTAGAAATTGAATATTTTGAAGAGATTATATTTTCTGAAAAGTCACAGAAATTGAATGTGAATTTTTGAATTATTCAGTGAAAATATTCAAATATCGATTTTCATTTGCCTCAATGATTATTTGTACAGAATCACAAATATAGCAGAATTATAGCAAAATTTTTGCATAAAATATAATTGTAAAATGGTGTCAAAAATCATTTACAAAAAATGAAAAATAAATTATGAAAATAATCCATAAGGCAATGAAAGGAAGCTATCCACAAATTTTTAATATTTTTGAATAAATTGTAAATTTTTTATGAACAAGGACGGATTACCCTAATATTGATTCTGAAATGTCCTACACTTGTTTTTTTGAAAATTATAATTTTGGGAAAATTGGAGTTATTTTACTTTGTTAAAATTCTGAAACAAGATTATGCAAATTATTTTTTGATCCAGTTTTAGTGATGATATTCGTGAATCAGTATCAATAATATTTTTCATACAATTTCAATTTTGAACCGTTAATTTATGTATTTACAATAAAATTATAGTGTAAAAATACCGCATGGTACAAACGATCATTTTCAAAATAATAAGATGTTGAAAAAAATCTTAATGTTCAAAATCTTTCCAATTTATTTAGCAACTCATTTGAATTTCATTCTCTACCTCCTCAACATACTTTTATAAATCTTTATATCTCAATAAATTGAGATGTTTTGAAATTAGGGCAAAGTTTTTCATAACTCAGATATATTGATTTTAGATACAACAAACTGCTTCCCTATCATATATGTATCTCAAAACTTTGCCATAAACACCATAAATTGAGTTTACGAATTGTCCACATTGGTAATTATCACTATCATCTCAGTTCTATCTTGCAAAACTGATATACTCTGAGGGGTAATGCCAAACATTACACTTACATTAGTTCATTTTTTGAATTTCCAATGTTTTGCAGGTTAATTTAGTTTTTGATGAATTCAACATACTACATAGTCAGAAAACCATATAGTCATACATAATTTTGATTTATTTTTACTTGGCGCAAATTTTGAATTTTAACGTCCAGAATTTCGCACTTTTTTGGTTCTTAGCTGAAATCAAAGGATGCTTCCAAATCCAGGAGATAGGCCACCTCCTGGGTTGAATTTCAGTCAGCTTCCAGAAAATATACAAAAGCAAATTATGGAACTGCAGCTAAGGCAGTTACAGCAGCAGCAACAGCCACCGCCGCCCCCAAATGTTCCACACAGAGGAAGACCTAAAGGCAAGACAAAACCGAAAAAAATATATATAGAAGATAGTGATAGTTTTGATGAAGATGAATTTGCTGCTCAAGCTTCATCAGAAGTATCAGATGCACCAAGAAGAAGTTCTAGATCAAGAAAAAAGAGCAATTACATAGATTCAGAAGACTCCAGTGATGCTGAAGCAAATCCTACTCCAGCACCAAAAAAAGTTATTGCTACAGGACCGAGAATATCGACCATTATAGCAAAAAACAGCCAAATTCCAGATGAAACGAAATATATTTGCCAGATTCCGGAAAAATCTCTTTTCCATTCAAAAATATTCTCCGAAGCAGAGTTAAAAAGTGGTCAAAATACGGATGTTTTACAGAAACATTTCGAAGCTCTTTCAGATCAGCAAGGCACTGAACTGTCCGATATATCTAGTAATTACTATGAACCTGTATTTTCAAGAATTCCGATAGAATTATTATATGTTGATAGAATTATAGCTCATCGCGCTTTAGGCGAAAAGGAGGAAGTACCTCAAGAAATTATAGATACAAATGTATATATCCCTGGCTTTCCAATTAAGAATTATCCGAATTTGGAAAAAATTATTGAATTTGAAAAGCCTCTCAGAAAGCTTGAAGACTCAGAGGAAGCTTTCCTCGATGAATACGGTGTTATTAATCTCAAGCGAGAGGACGATAACAAAAATGAAAAGGCGGAAGAAGAAGAAACTCACGAAGCCCTTGAGCCGCCTCAGTCTGTTGAATTTCTCATAAAATGGCAGGGATATCAGGAGAATAGAGCTACATGGGAGAGCCCAGATTTGCTTTTAAGAAAATCTGATCTTCCATTTTCAATAGCCAATCTTTCTGAACTGCCAAGGCTCATGGATATCTACTGGATTAACACATTGAGGTTAAATCGCGGTCCTCCGTTGCCTTTTCAGCCTTTTACAGATTTTCCATTATTAGAACGCAAAATTTCATTATCAGATTCGCAAAAACAGTTAGTCAATCAATTAATTACAGCATCCCAATCACAATCACAATGCAAACTCTCAAATCCGGCCACAGGACGCATTGGAGCTGTTGCCGCCTTTCTTCATTTAGCCAGAAAGCAAAATCATCGCGTTAAAACAATAATTATTACATCTACGTCCAGAATTAATCAATGGATGGACACTTTTAGAATAATGACAAATTTATACGTTTCTTCTTACGATACAGAGGTTGATTCACGTCTTATAGTTAGATCCAATGAAGTTATCTGCGATCGCGGACCTAAAACAGACGTCCTTACTATGGCAAGTTCGATTTACTACAAAGAATCAAATTCTCTTGCTAATGTCAAATGGAACTACGTTGTTTTCGATGCAGATGACTATGTAACCTGCAATTTCCCTAATATCTTCAAGATTTTCATCGACAACAGGCCAGAAGGAAAAGTAGATTTTATTTACAAAGAAAATGTCATTTTCGTACCAAATGCTGTATCATCACAGATCCACGACAGACTTTCCAAGCTTCTCAAGATGCGAAATTCACGCGGAAGAGTGTTTAGAGATCCGACATTTTTATATCGCGAAATGTACAAATGTCATCAGCATCCATTCCTCACCAAAGCGATGGAGGATCTCATTATTGCCAAACACAAGGCCCGTTACAACTTAAGCTCCATTACATCTGAACAATCTCTTGAATTACTCATTTCCACATCGAATAAATTGGCCAAACTTATTGATCTCATCAAAGAAGTCAAACTTACCGTTGTTGTTTGCGACTGCTTTGCTCTAATCCGTCTTTTGGCCCCACTTTTGTCATCTCGCCACATAAATTACGGAATTGTCGACTCAGTTAACCGCGAAGAAGCCTTTCAGACGACAATGAGTGAAGGCGCGATCCTCATGACCAGGAATTACACTGCTCCTTACCTTGAAGATTTCAAACCAGATCGAATTGTTTTTGTCGACGTCGGCAGATCACTTGATTGCGATGTCAACCTCGTCAGATACTTCTCTCGAGGCCAGAACATCCAAATCTACCGCTTAATCACCGACGACAGCCTCGAAGCCGTCTTTTACGGTCGATTTCTCCACGATCCATCATTTGATTACACTCTCGCGAACTACAACGAACAGGACATCTTCCTTAGGATAGAAGCTCTCACGACACAGCCTTCACACGAAGTACAGACACACGAGAACATTGTTGTTTCTGTTCCTGGCGACAGAACTGTTGAAGAAATGTTCAAACCGACAGTGGAGATGGTCACGAGCCAGCCAGAGTTCTGGGACATTGCTTTCGCTCATTCCAGGCTGGAGCACATCAAGCAAGTCACGTGGAAGAAGCAGGAAGCAATGAGAATTGTCGATTTCTTGCTGAAATTCGGGTTCAGCGAATTTGGAAAAATTGCTGAATTAATGGGACGTCCACAAGAAGATGTTTCCATCTTTTCTCGCGCTGTTCTTCTTCATTTCCTCAGCGACATGGACAAATCTCAACTGGCGAGACACAACTTAGTCAACTCCATCATCTGGTTCGAGTTCTTCACACAGCCTTTCGAAGACCAGTTTGAAGAACAGAGCAACTTCTGGCACCAAGTCACAGCTGAAGAGTTGACACTCCAAACTCCTGTCTTTTTGAAACACAACTTTTTGAAGACACTCAAAGCGCAGTCCGAATCAATTCTGAATCACGTGGAGAACGTGTGGACAATCAGAGCTTTCCTGAGTCTTCACCAGGAGCCGTACATGCCCCCAAGATTTCCTATTGCTAGGAATTTCGTTGGAACATCTCCAAGATTTTTCTATGCTCTGTTGAATTCGTTTTTGGCTCATGGAAATAACTGGCAGGAAATCACACGGGAGATGGCGGAATTCCAAGCATCGGAAGACTTGTTGAGAGACTATTTCAAGATGTTTTTGAACTCTATAACAATTGATTTACTCTCGACATGTTTGCACGCGAAACATGATGGAAACTCCGCTCCTTTACTTGCAGACAAAATGATGAGGCCAATTTACCAAAGAGTTTGCAACGGACCATTCATAAATCAGTGGAATTTAGAAGAACTGAAAAGAGTTACACAGGTCGCAATGGACTTCCACATTCCTTATAGAGATGGAAACCAAGACTGGGAGGAATTCCACGCTCTCACACACATAACAACCAAATCAACAGCAGAAATAAAGAGATTCATGCTCGATTTGGACAATTTCATCAAACAGTCAAAAAGTGACGATTCATTAATTATTCCGCAGAGAATTATGAACTTGCCTGATACTTTTCCAGCTCAATCATTCTCAGGAACGAACATCAGGGATAAATACATTTCTGCGACACAGAGATTAGAGTACATCCACTCTCTCGCCATTGCAGGAATCAAAGATTTCAATCCAATGCCTGGTTTGCCGCCGAACTGGGACATTTCATGCGATTTCGCATTGATTACTTGCATTGTACAGTTTGGATTTAGGATCATTTCACAGGTGGGAATGTGTATTCCACACACAAGTCCTAATTACTACGACATTCCTTTCTCGAGAGATTTGTATGGTTTCGAAGAATTCCTCAGACAACAGCCGAAAGTTATTCAGAGAATTACTTCAATCATCATGGCAAACAGAAACGTTCCAAGGAAAATCAGGTTCTATCCTGGTATTTCTTCAATCGCATTCACTGATTTCATTCCTGCACCTCCGAAACCTCCTGTTCCACAACAACAACAAGTTCAGCCACAGACTCCTCCACATAAATCACACAGTTCAAATGTTCCTCCAAGTCCTGGAAACATGTTGTTTACTTCTTCAGCAATTCCTGTTAGTTCTGCAATGCTGACTCCGCCGAATTTGTCTTCAAGCGGTTCTTCTACTCAGCTGAAAAGTCCGAAGAGAGAAAATTCTACTTCGACGCAGCAGACGAAGATGAATTACCCAGCTCCACCAAATTTGGCACAGGCAAAAGCTCAGATTGCAGCACAGAACTTGGCTCAGTCCAAAGCAGAAGCGATCATGGCGCAGAGACAGCAGCATCAGCAACAGCAAAGAGCTGCAATGCAGGAGAAGAGACAACAGGCTCAGAAACCATTTAAATTGACTCCTCCACCTCAGTTATCACAGAAAGAGGAAAAAACCATTTTCCAGTTTGAGAATTTGCCTGATTTTCTCATGCAGAAACCACAACAAGTTCCAAGACAACAGTCATCTCCATCACCACACTTCCTTCCTCCTCCACCTCCTAGGCAGCAATCAACACCTCAACAAGTTCCTCCACCTAATTTAGACAATTCGAGGAACCAAAGTTCGATGATGTTTCCACCTCAATTCATGCTCAATTTCCAGCAACAAAATGCTCAACAAACTCAGCAGATCCAGCAGCAATTCGCTCCAAATCCACAACAGCAATTGCAGCAACAGTTGAAGCAGTTCATGAGCTTCCCACAGCCTCCACAACAACCACAGCAACAGCAACCACAACAGCCACAACAAACACCACAGCAACAGAAGAAGAACAAAAACCAAATTGCTGTCAATTTCTCTTCGATGCCAATTATGCCACAGATTCCACAGGCATTCAACCAGTTGCAGGCACAAAAGATGCAACAGAATACAGCTGCATCTCAGCAGAAGAAACAGTTGTTCCAGATGCCTCCTCCACCTCAAACACAACCACAATCTCAACAAAATCCTCAACAGCAACAGAATCAACAAAATGTACAAATTCCAACACATATTTCAAGGAAGATAATGAACATGACTCCACAGCAATTCCAGCAGTACCAGCAACAATTGCTAATGCAACAGCAGCAGCAACAGTTCCAACAACAACAACAGCAGTTCATGATGCAGAATCCAAACAACATGAATCAATTCCAACAGAGCCAAAACAAGCCACAACAAAACATCAATCCACAAATGATGATGGCAAAACCACAGCCACCGAAACCTGTTTTGACTCCGCAGCAACAGGAAGCATTGATAAACATCAAGATGCTGGAGAAGGAACATGCGAAGGAGGAGAAGAAGAGGCAGCAACAGGAGAAGAAGGAAAAGAAGGAGAAAAAGGAAAAAGAGAGGAAAGAGAAAAAAGAAAAGAAAGAAAAAATTCCAAAGCATTTGTTCCAAAGTGTTGTATTTCCGAAAAAAATTGTTTTTCTACCATAAATGTTATCTTTTACCCTATAATTCCTGGGTTGTCAATTTTTTGGGGGCCTATGGAGAAATTTACTTTATCAATAGCGCACCATAGATTCGAATCCAGAGCCTATAATTCTAGAAGTAGATGAAGGTACCCTAGAATAACTATGTGGTGTAGTTTTTATTGCTATTTAAGATATCACATAAATATATTAATCAAATAATAAAAATTTCAATAAAATTAAATAATTGTTATTTTTATATAGAGTAGATATTATTTCTATATTTAGATCGAAAAAATAAATAATTCTGAAGTACTAGTAATATTCATCCATGATGATTTATTTTTCAATATTATACAATAAGAAATATCTTTATAAGTTTTTTTTTGAAAAATGTTTAAAATTGAGAGATCAAAATTTCGATTTGTGAAAAGAAATCATAAATCAAATATGTCCTAATTTTGTTTTTATTAGGGTATACATGTTTTATACTCGAAGTACGGTATGTTGTTGTTTTTTTATTCAATAATTAAAAACTTGCATACAGGTCGTAAGGTGTTGGAATATCGTACACAGAGGGTACGCACATGTCTAGGGCAACTATTTGTTATGAATGAGTGTATTTTAAAAGATTTGAAATATCATAAGATTGATCCAAAATGGCATTATAATAAATGTTTTTATCCAATGTTAATTATATTTTAAATAAAGTAATGCAAAATTAATGACTTTTGAAAATTGAGAGAGAGAACAAAAAATAGAGTTTTTAAAAAACTAAATGTTGAAATAGTTTGAGATATCAATAAAATTAACAGTGAAAAATATTAATCAGAATAAATACAAAAATTGGGTATCTTATTGAAAAAATATGTGAAAAAGAGTGAAGATCAACCGAAATTTTATATTAATATAATAGGGATGCGTTAAACACGCCATTTGACCGGGCGTACATTTTTTTTGTTCGCCCAAAAATTTCGCCATTTGAGAAATTCAAAAATTAAAAATAAAATTTTAATCTTGATTTTTTTATTTTCGTGATTTTTTTGAAACTTACATAAGCGATGAAATACTTTTTTTTAAGTAATCGTTTATTATATATAAATATATCTTAATAAATTTAATTCCTTAAGGTAGAGCGTGTTCAAATTTAAAATCTCATACAATATTTTCTTAATGGCGTATTTTTCTGAGGTCGCCCAAATAAAGGCGAATTCAAAATTGAGAACTCCAAGGCGTATGGCGAGTATTCAAAAAGTACGCCACTTACAAAATATTGAATGTGGATTATCAATTTTTTGGCGTTTTCAATTTCAAATTTTGATATTTATGTTTATTTTATTCAGTATAATGCTAAGAATTAAAATATAAAATTCATAGAATTTTTTCTTTTAAAATATTTTACATTTTTATTAGACCACTCCTAGACTAGTCATCAGGTTATCCTCAGATCATCCTCAGCCTACTCCTTATCAGATTACTCATCATCCTCAGACTACTCCTTAGACCCCTCCTCATCAGACTACTCCTCAGATCTTCCTCATAAGACTCCTCCTCAGATCTTCCTCCTGAGACTACTCTTCAGACTACTCCTTAGAGTCCTCCTCATCAGACTAGTCCTGAGACTAGTCCTCAGACTAGTCCTCAGACTACTCCTGAAACTACTCCTCAGATTATCCTCAGACTCCTCCTCAGATTATCCTCAAACTCCTCCTCAGATTATCCTCAGACTAGTCCTCAGACTACTCCTGAAACTACTCCTCAGATTATCCTCAAACTACTCCTCAGTCTAATCCTCAGATTCCTCCTCAGATTATCCTCAAACTACTCCTCAGTCTAATCCTCAGATTCCTCCTCAGATTATCCTCAAACTACTCCTCAAACTCCTCCTCAAACTACTCCTCAGATTATCCTCAAACTCCTCAGACTACTCCTCGGTCTAATCCTCAGACTCCGCCACAGATTATCCTCAAACTCCTCAGACTACTCCTCAGACAACTCCTCAGATTATCCTCAAACTCCTCAGATTATCCTCAAACTCCTCAGACTACTCCTCAAACTCCTCAGACTACTCCTCAAACTCCTCAGATTATCATCAAACTCCTCAAACTACTCCTCGGTCTAATCCTCAGACTCCTCCTCAGATTATCCTCAGATTATCACTTTACATATATATATTGATAACTAAATAATTACTTATTATACTTTCTTTATTTTTTTTTAATTTTAAAATAATATTAATATATCTTTCTACGTTTAATGATGAAAGAGAAAGAGGAGTAAAAAGAAAGAGAAAAGAAAGAGAGAGAGAGAGAAAAAAAAAAGAGAAAGAAAGAAAAAAAAAGGACGGCGATAATTTTGTATTGTTTTGTTATTCGGCCGAATGGCGGGTACTTCGTACCCGCCATTCGGCCCCAAAAATGGCGTATTATTCTATTTTTAAACGGTCATGGCGTAAAACCGTCGCATCCCTAAATATAAAGGATATAAAAGAAATGTGAACGTAAATAAATATAAATTAAAAGATATAATTAAAATTTTTAATAAAGTTGAATCAAAGACAACAATTGATAGACAATTGTTGTCTTTGTGTACAACATTCACTTGAATTATAAACAATAACAAGTGTTTGTTGTTCACTGAGCAACTTTGATAAGAATCATTTGTGATTCTTGTCAAAGTTGAATCAAAGACAACAATTGATAGACAATTGTTGTCTTTGTGTACAACATTCACTTGAATTATAAACAATAACAAGTGTTTGTTGTTCACTGAGCAACTTTGATAAGAATCATTTGTGATTCTTGTCAAAGTTGAATCAAAGACAACAATTGATAGATAATTGTTGTCTTTGTGTACAACATTCACTTGAATTATAAACAATAACAAGTGTTTGTTGTTCACTGAGCAACTTTTAGAAGAATCATTTTGTAATACTTTGAAACACAAATAGCATATTATGCTTTTATTTATCTATATGTGTCATTTTGGGAGACATTGTCTATGCAAGTCTCCCAGAATGACACATTCATACACAATCTTCTTCTGATTGTGTATCTTTTGTCAACAAAGTGCAACAGTGCACTGTTATTGTGTGCTATGTGTCATTGTGGGAGACATTGTCTATGCAAGTCTCCCAGAATGACACATTCTTCTCAATGTTCTTACACTCTATTAAAACTATTCATAAATACAATTTCAATCTTATCCTCATTTTCTTCCTATTACACGTATCGAATCCCAACCTACTGAAACACTTATTCCTCACAATCATTCGCAAATTTTTCTAATCTATGTTTTCTCAACTATTATCCTTTACCTTCATAACAGCATTTAAATATTCCTAATGAAATTTAATGTTTTCCTATTAAATACTTAATCACACAAAAATTATATTATCAAATTTTTATATCATTCTTAAATTCCAGATTATATTGCTTACTTTGCAAGCTAACTATAATATAGTGTGATAGCCTTATTGAACTTTGATCAAATACTCCTTCGTCCGTTAAAAATTAAGATGCGTTTAAAAAATCGGAAAAAAATTCTTTTGTTTTATTTTTAATTTTTCAACCGATAAAACTTTTTAGAAAAACTCCAAATTCCAAGAAATGCTTAGATTCAATATGAAGAACATATTCATACAGTCATTTCGTTTCAAATTTCAATTTTCAAATCGAACAAAGCAGCAAATTTGAATACTTTACAAAATTTTGAAACGTCTTTTCCCGAATGAATATTGAGTTTCAAGCCGGACAAGCTATAGCAAAACTGATCCTTATGACCCACTCTATCATTTTGGTTTTTTTGCAAAACGTGGGTAAACACCCATCTCATAACACATTTTTTGCAAAATTAGGTAAAATCCGTGTAAATGCTCAGATACATGTGGCCAATAATATTTGAATACTGACAGGTCCGGATATTAGGTTTAAATAGCTGATTTAATTCGAAATATGAAAAAAGATGAAATCTCAATGTAATATAGTAAATTAAGAATCAGTATGAATGGTTATATGATTTTGATAAAAGAAAACTGAATGAAATAGAAAAAAAATTTGAATCTTAGAATTTGAAAGTAATGAAAGAAGAAAAAGTGGATTTAAAGGAGGTTTTATGATAAGGTATTGTCGGGTATTAGAAGTGAACGTGTTGAAAAGAGATATTTAATTAATATGAGACAAAATTAAAAGAAGAATTGAAGATTGTGTATGAATGTGTCATTCTGGGAGACTTGCATAGACAATGTCTCCCACAATGACACATAGCACACAATAACAGTGCACTGTTGCACTTTGTTGACAAAAGATACACAATCAGAAGAAGATTGTGTATGAATGTGTCATTCTGGGAGACTTGCATAGACAATGTCTCCCACAATGACACACAGCACACAATAACAGTGCACTGTTGCACTTTGTTGACAAAAGATACACAATCAGAAGAAGATTGTGTATGAATGTGTCATTCTGGGAGACTTGCATAGACAATGTCTCCCACAATGACACATAGCACACAATAACAGTGCACTGTTGCACTTTGTTGACAAAAGATACACAATCAGAAGAAGATTGTGTATGAATGTGTCATTCTGGGAGACTTGCATAGACAATGTCTCCCACAATGACACACAGCACACAATAACAGTGCACTGTTGCACTTTGTTGACAAAAGATACACAATCAGAAGAAGATTGTGTATGAATGTGTCATTCTGGGAGACTTGCATAGACAATGTCTCCCACAATGACACACAGCACACAATAACAGTGCACTGTTGCACTTTGTTGACAAAAGATACACAATCAGAAGAAGATTGTGTATGAATGTGTCATTCTGGGAGACTTGCATAGACAATGTCTTCCAGAATGAGACAATCTTCCGCAATTAGAATACGATTGCGGAACTTCGACCGACAAGAGTGCATTATGCACTTTTCGTGTTTTAATTTTGTCTCATATTAATTAAATATCTCTTTTCAACACGTTCACTTCTAATACCCGACAATACCTTATCATAAAACCTCCTTTAAATCCACTTTTTCTTCTTTCATTACTTTCAAATTCTAAGATTCAAATTTTTTTTCTATTTCATTCAGTTTTCTTTTATCAAAATCATATAACCATTCATACTGATTCTTAATTTACTATATTACATTGAGATTTCATCTTTTTTCATATTTCGAATTAAATCAGCTATTTAAACCTGATATCCGGACCTGTCAGTATTCAAATATTATTGGCCACATGTATCTGAGCATTTACACGGATTTTACCTAATTTTGCAAAAAATGTGTTATGAGATGGGTGTTTACCCACGTTTTGCAAAAAAACCAAAATGATAGAGTGGGTCATAAGGATCAGTTTTGCTATAGCTTGTCCGGCTTGAAACTCAATATTCATTCGGGAAAAGACGTTTCAAAATTTTGTAAAGTATTCAAATTTGCAGCTTTGTTCGATTTGAAAATTGAAATTTGAAACGAAATGACTGTATGAATATGTTCTTCATATTGAATCTAAGCATTTCTTGGAATTTGGAGTTTTTCTAAAAAGTTTTATCGGTTGAAAAATTAAAAATAAAACAAAAGAATTTTTTTCCGATTTTTTAAACGCATCTTAATTTTTAACGGACGAAGGAGGATTTGATCAAAGTTCAATAAGGCTATCACACTATATTATAGTTAGCTTGCAAAGTAAGCAATATAATCTGGAATTTAAGAATGATATAAAAATTTGATAATATAATTTTTGTGTGATTAAGTATTTAATAGGAAAACATTAAATTCCATTAGGAATATTTAAATGCTGTTATGAAGGTAAAGGATAATAGTTGAGAAAACATAGATTAGAAAAATTTGCGAATGATTGTGAGGAATAAGTGTTTCAGTAGGTTGGGATTCGATACGTGTAATAGGAAGAAAATGAGGATAAGATTGAAATTGTATTTATGAATAGTTTTAATAGAGTGTAAGAACATTTGAGAAGAATGTGTCATTCTGGGAGACTTGCATAGACAATGTCTCCCACAATGACACATAGCACACAATAACAGTGCACTGTTGCACTTTGTTGACAAAAGATACACAATCAGAAGAAGATTGTGTATGAATGTGTCATTCTGGGAGACTTGCATAGACAATGTCTCCCAAAATGACACATATAGATAAATAAAAGCATAATATGCTATTTTGTGTTTCAAAGTATTACAAAATGATTCTTCTAAAAGTTGCTCAGTGAACAACAAACACTTGTTATTGTTTATAATTCAAGTGAATGTTGTACACAAAGACAACAATTATCTATCAATTGTTGTCTTTGATTCAACTTTGACAAGAATCACAAATGATTCTTATCAAAGTTGCTCAGTGAACAACAAACACTTGTTATTGTTTATAATTCAAGTGAATGTTGTACACAAAGACAACAATTGTCTATCAATTGTTGTCTTTGATTCAACTTTGACAAGAATCACAAATGATTCTTATCAAAGTTGCTCAGTGAACAACAAACACTTGTTATTGTTTATAATTCAAGTGAATGTTGTACACAAAGACAACAATTGTCTATCAATTGTTGTCTTTGATTCAACTTTATTAAAAATTTTAATTATATCTTTTAATTTATATTTATTTACGTTCACATTTCTTTTATATCCTTTATATTAATATAAAATTTCGGTTGATCTTCACTCTTTTTCACATATTTTTTCAATAAGATACCCAATTTTTGTATTTATTCTGATTAATATTTTTCACTGTTAATTTTATTGATATCTCAAACTATTTCAACATTTAGTTTTTTAAAAACTCTATTTTTGTTCTCTCTCTCAATTTTCAAAAGTCATTAATTTTGCATTACTTTATTTAAAATATAATTAACATTGGATAAAAACATTTATTATAATGCCATTTTGGATCAATCTTATGATATTTCAAATCTTTTAAAATACACTCATTCATAACAAATAGTTGCCCTAGACATGTGCGTACCTCTGTGTACGATATTCCAACACCTTACGACCTGTATGCAAGTTTTTAATTATTGAATAAAAAAACAACAACATACCGTACTTCGAGTATAAAACATGTATACCCTAATAAAAACAAAAATTAGGACATATTTGATTTATGATTTCTTTTCACAAATCGAAATTTTGATCTCTCAATTTTAAACATTTTTCAAAAAAAAACTTATAAAGATATTTCTTATTGTATAATATTGAAAAATAAATCATCATGGATGAATATTACTAGTACTTCAGAATTATTTATTTTTTCGATCTAAATATAGAAATAATATCTACTCTATATAAAAATAACAATTATTTAATTTTATTGAAATTTTTATTATTTGATTAATATATTTTATGTGATATCTTAAATAGCAATAAAAACTACACCACATAGTTATTCTAGGGTACCTTCATCTACTTCTAGAATTATAGGCTCTGGATTCGAATCTATGGTGCGCTATTGATAAAGTAAATTTCTCCATAGGCCCCCAAAAAATTGACAACCCAGGAATTATAGGGTATATATTACCCAGATTTGCCTTACTTTTACCACCTCTCTAAAGCTGGGGACACCGCCTATCGTTGGAAGTAGCTATTAAATAGAACCACCAAGGGTATTTTTCGAACTGCCGGTGTAGTTTAGTGGAAACATCCGAAATAATTATTCATTATGCAAAGCTTTGATTCCCATTTAGCCAATTTTTTTCTTTTTGGATCATGAATTTTTTTTTGGGTCACTATAAGATTTGTTTCATGTTCTAAATCTGCTGCATATGTAATCTATTTTTATTTACCTATTTTTTAAAAATCTATTGGATTGCCAAATTTGAATATATTTAAAATCATAAAACTCCAAAAAAACTATAAATATATGTTTTATGCATAGTGCCGATACTCAAATATCAGATTACTTAGATCCATGAATAATATCCGAATTTTTTTTCTTAAAATTAAACTTCAAAACTTCTTCCAATCTTATTCTTAATCAATTGTAAATTTTTAAAACCATTTTTTAAAATAATTTTGCGTAAATTTTATTCTCATGTTGTTTTAATCGAAAATTGATACATTTTCAAAAAAATAATATTGACTTATGAAATTCATTTTTAAGGTGAAATAGTATTGTTTTATTAAAGTATATGAATAATATATAAAAAATTAATGAATAATATAAGCAGATTTTTAGTTTACAAAACAAATATGAGCAATGCAATTTCAAACTTTTGCTGGCAATTTCGATATTGCTCAAGTTTGTAGTATTTGTGATACCTATAACATCGGCTTAATCAAAATTCGATTTTTCTTATGAGTTATTGAGAAAATTTGATTGCAATGAGAAGGATTTCGACGTTTTTGATAAACTAAGAGCTGAGCTTTAGGGTTCAGTTCATTTATGGCTGTAGTTTGATGCGTAGATCTCTTTTTTATTGTAAATTCTTTCAGCATGGAGATCGAGAATGAATCTTTTGAGAACTTTATGAGTTTTTACACCCGTAAAGAGGTCCTTCGAGGAAAGATAGTCCAGACTACATGAAGATGTGGGTTAACCAAAAAAATCCGATGGTTTCCCCATATTCATGTAGATCTTCGAAAAAATGAGCACCAAAAAAGCCAAAAAATAGGCTTTTTATTGGATTTGTACACTAGATCAATAACCTATTTAGGATCTGACACTCTTTTTAGCCAGAGATATGAGGTCCTTTCTAGGAAAACGATCTATTCATCCATAAAAAAAATGAATTATCATTTTCCCCAGAAATTACATGGGGAGTGGTAAAAGTAAGGAAAATCTGGGTAATTCAACAAATATTTTTTCAAAATCATCAATTGTTATGATAACGCTTATATTCCCAAAATTTACATTAAGAGATAAACATTATTTACTTGGTTAAGCTGCTTTACACCATAACAATAGGAATTTTATTTTCTAACATGAACATTTTTTCGTATTAGCACTTGACAAGTTCTAAAAAATAATTTTGGTTATATATAATTATATTTCACTCATCAATGTTGAAGAAATAGGTAAATTTATCTTAAATTCTTTTTACTAAGAAGTTTTAATCGAATTTTTACTTGATGTGCATTTAGTATGTCCTATATTTTATCTATTTAGTCATTTTATTTCAAAAATTTTGATTAGAAAAGTGACAATGGATGAGTAACGAGACTTCGGATAACGAACAATCTGATCACATTCCAGAGATTTTAGTCATTGAGCAACATACAGATGATGGCGAAAACATGGAAGAGGAAGACGATTCAGTTACATCCGAGATTCCAGACTCTTCTATTTTATTACAAAATTCTAAAGTCGAAATCGAAGATGAACCAGAATCAAAAAAATTATCACAACCAGAGGTAACACCAAATCAAGAATATAACGAACATCCTGTTCAAACTTCGACTTGTTGCCATATAATATGATTTTTCAAAGATATATACATTTCAAGCAAAGTATATTCAATAGCCATGATGTGTAATCATTGCTATTGCATAAGTTTATACTCAGATTCAATGCCTTCCTTTGATTCAAATAAGGTAAGATTGGATCACGAATTTGCATGTTCGTAATGCTTGATCACCAATTAATCAATGATTTTGAGCATGAATTCATTAATGATTTAATGAGTTTTAAAATAATTTAATTCCATGGGCAAAATCATGAAACCATTTATATATTTGTATGCATTGATGACATACGAATGCATTTTATAACTGTATAATATCTTATTTTTTAAGATTTGCGTTGGGACAAAAAAATAAAGATTATTTATAAAGTACAATTTATTTTATTTCTAAGATAATGTATTAAAAATTATTTAGAAATCATAACAATATAATATAACTCTTATTTTTCACATGGTTAAAAAATTATATTAATTTGAATATGTCTAAGAGACAAAAATTCATATGATTAGAGAGATACATATAGAGGCTATTAGAACCAGATGACAGGCCTTAAAATGAGTGATTTTGGAAAGGATATTGGCATTTCAACTGATACATGAGCCGCTTTTGTTTTTGTTTTTGGGAGAAGTGGAGGAATCGATGAAACAAGATTTGATTGAGGAACTGATATAAGAGATGAAATACTAAATTGTGTTTGGCTTGTTTTAACAGGCGGTTCTGGTCTATTCTCTGGAGGGGGAGGAGGGATTGCTTTAGATAACGGAGGTTCTGATTTAATTTTTTTTTGTTTTTTAATTTTCCTTCTATTAAGTAATGACCAACGATTTTTGATAAGTACATCCGTCCTCCTTGGAAACTGCTTTGCAATAACGCACCATTTCGTTCCAAGTGTTTCGACTAAATTTTCAAGCATTCTATCTTCTTCTTCTGTCCATGGCGTATTTGCAACGTTTGGCGATAGGTAATTGATCCATCTCTCGCGACACTGGCGAGCAGTTCGACCAGGAACAACTTTTGCAATAAGAGTCCAATTTCCTTCTCCAACGGCTGCAATTTGTTGTCTAATAAGTTTATCTTCTTCCTCAGTAAATTTATGGCGAGGTTTTCTCGTTTCTTTATGTTCAGCATGCATTTACAAGTGTGCGAGTTTGATACTTTTTGAAGAAAATTTATGTTTCAATTTTTATGATCAAAATATAATCGAACAAGAAAGGGATTAGCTCGAAAATATATTTTACACACGATAAAAAGTATTTATCCCTCAAATTTGAGAGTATTTGAAAATGTGAAACTCCACATCTGTGTTTTATCTGTTAAATCAGGATAGGAGATTTAATTAAATTTTTGTTCAGTATATAAAAAGTTTGATATTGTTTTACAATATTATAGACTTAGTAGAACAAAAGAATAATAAAAACTTTAAAATAATTCTCGATCAAATTTCGTGCTTTCAATTTTTGATAACGAAATCTCATTACGATACAAGTTCTCATAATATTAAGTACAAAGAAAAAATAAATGCATATTTCTTAAGTTTTCTTTCACGATAAACGGTTTAGTTTTTGTAAATTTTTTTTGTATCCACAAATCAAGAAATGTGATAAGAAAAATTCGATAACATGATTGATGTATTGATCAAATTCAATGTAAAAGTTTGAAATGTTGATCAAATCATATCTGATTCAACCAATTATTTATATAAAAATTATATCTAGTTTTGATATAAAAAAAAAAAAAAAAAAAAAAAAAGAAAAAAAAGGTAGTGGGGCTTCCAGGCACTTCGTGCCTTCTAGCCCTGAGGATGAATGAGTATAATGAAGTTTTTTTTTCTTGGGGGATGGCTTCCAGGCACTTCGTGCCTTCTAGCCCCCGAAGATGTTTAGTATAAATGAAGTCTCAACAAAGTCTTTATGAAGAAGTCTTAACAAAACATTTACGAAGAAGTCTTAACAAAACATTTACGAAGAAGTCTTGACAAAGTCTTTACGAAGAAGTCTTAACAAAACATTTACGAAGAAGTCTTAACAAAGTCTTTACGAAGAAGTCTTAACAAAGTCTTTACGAAGAAGTCTTAACAAAACATAGACAAGAAAGTTCATGAGTGTAAATCAGGCAAAAATATATTTTAGGGTAGAAGGGTATATCTACCCCGTTTTCTACCCTCTTTTCTACCCTCTTGAATTTTCATGAAATTTACACCAAAAATATATTTTAGGGTAGAAGGGTATATCTACCCCGTTTTCTACCCTCTTTTCTACCCTCTTGAATTTTCATGAAATTTACACCAAAAATATACTACTAGGGTCATTTACGAAGAAATCTCAACAAAGTCTTTACGATGAAGTCTTGACAAAGTCTTTACGAAGAAATCTCAACAAAGTCTTTACGAAGAAGTCTCAACAAAGTCTTTACGAAGAAGTCTTAACAAAGTCTTTACGAAGAAATCTCAACAAAGTCTTTACGATGAAGTCTTGACAAAGTCTTTACGATGAAGTCTTGACAAAGTCTTTACGATGAAGTCTCAACAAAGTCTTTACGAAGAAGTCTCAACAAAGTCTTTACGAAGAAGTCTTAACAAAGTCTTTACGAAGAAATCTCAACAAAGTCTTTACGATGAAGTCTTGACAAAGTCTTTACGAAGAAGTCTCAACAAAGTCTTTACGAAGAAATCTTAACAAAGTCTTTACGATGAAATCTCAACAAAGTCTTTACGAAGAAGTCTTAACAAAGTCTTTACGAAGAAATCTTGACAAAGTCTTTACGAAGAAGTCTTAACAAAGTCTTACGAAGAAATTCATGAAAATTCAAGAGGGTAGAAATGAGGGTAGAAAACGGGGTAGATATACCCTTCTACCCTAAATATATTTTTGGGTCATTTACACTCATTTACGAAGAAATCTCAACAAAGTCTTTACGAAGAAGTCACAATAAAACATCTGTCAAAAACCGCTTTTTAACTTCACTTAAAATGCCACGTAAGCTACGTAAGAATATACGTAAGAGGAAGAGAGCATTGAAACATCCAATAGTAAAACTGACACCACAACAACAGTTGCAACAACAAATGCTGAACGACCCCACCATGTTGCAACAAATGTCAAGCAACCCTATGCTTTTAAACCGAGTTCTTGGTGCACAGAGTGGAGGTTTAAGAGCGGCACTTTTAGCGAAAATGGCAGGCTATGGTGGAGCTGCAGACGGAACAGCCTATAACCCTCAAAGTCAAATGAATTTGAGTTCACTCAAAAATCAAATAACAGATGTCAAAAAGTCAAACATAGACATACAGAAGCAAATAGGTGAAAACGAAAAGAAACTAGAATATGACAGACACACAAAGAAACTCAATGAGTTAAACGTAGAGAAAAAGAAGAAAGAAGAACAACTGAAAGAACTAAGTACAGAGGAATATGCGAAAAAAGTGTCAGAAAAAGCAGCAGAAGTAGCAAAAATGGAACAAGATGTCATAAATTTGAAAAACCATACTACTCAATATAAAATACTGAAAGATGAAGAGATAAAACAAAAAGCCCTGAAGACATATATGGATAGCGATGAGTATAAAAAAGAAGTTGAAGCAAATGTAAAGGCAGAAAAACTTTTACAGTTGCAAAACCAAACCGTACAGTATGAAAACTTAGCACAAGAAAGTAAAAATAACGACGCGGCTATGCAAAAGGCAATGAAAAGCTCAGAATATATAAAAGCTAACAATGACTGGTTAGATGCCCAAGCCAACGCCAAAGCAGCCCAACTTATAGGGTCAATAAGGACAAAAATACAAGCGGATGAAGACAGTTCAAATGAAGCTTTAACAAATGCTGACTTTAAGAACGCCTTCGAAGCTCTTCATAGTAAGGTGAAACTAGTGAACGACTTCTCATCTGGAAAGAAACTGAAGTCTGAAGGTTTCGACAAAGAGTTAAAAGAAGTAGCACAAAATATGACGAAAATAACAGATGCAGCAACGAGACAGGCAGTTCAAAGTGCCTATGACGCCGTTAGAGCAACTGTTGTGAAAAGTCAAGAAAAAGAGTTACAACAGACCAAAACAGACCTAGTAAATGCTTTCTTAAGAACGAAAAGTCAGGTAGGACATTACGCTGCAGATGGAACATATGTGCCAGCTGGTGGAACTTATATACCACCAAACCCTCCAAGAGAAGCACCTGCACCAGGACTACCTAGAACATTTACATCGTCACATGGACACAGACACAGGCATGCACAACAACCAGCACAACAACCACCTCCACAACCAGCACAACAACCAACACAACACCAGCACAGCAACCAACAGTTCAAAACCCTGCACAACAACAACCACAAACAGAGCAAGGACATAAAAGAAGTAGAGAACAAGGAAACCAAGAATTCTTAAAAATGCTTAAAGAAGAGTGTGGTTTCCCAGATACTGTTGACTTTAGTGACAGATATAAAGAAGCTATTGGAAAGTTCAAGGATGGAAATACTGACCCGGACCTATTTAGCTTTATGGCTCAGCACCAAAACGGATATAATCTCAAACCTGGAAAATACAAGCTCGCTAAGGGATATGATTTAATAGCATATCATCCAAATGACATGGATGAATTTACTCCGAGATATTTGATGTCAGAGCTAAATGACAATTCAACTTTCGTCATGAAACGCGTAAAAAATAGAGACGGAACGAAAGAACAAAAGCTTATGAATGCGGATGACGTAGATAGGGAAATTGTTGAAAACGGTCTCGGAATATATGAAATGCCAGCAGATGAGGTACAAGAAACTCCACAGGAAGAATAGTTCAGATACAACCAGACATGGAAGAAATAGTTCAGCAACAACAGCTAGAAGAGCCTGAAGGAAACGAACAAGTCACTCCTTTGGAAACTAACTTCACAGAACTAGATGAAGATTTGGAACAGCCGAAAAATCTTGACCCTCAACAAGAGTATGCGGAGAATATGGAATATTTCCAAGAGTCTAAAAAAAATTCGGCTGACATAGTAGAAGAATATCGAAAAATGTTTGCCGACATACAAAAGACTCCAACACCAGATGAAAATATTCAGCATAGAATGGAAGTACTGAAAGAAAATGTACACAAATACAACAACCCTTTTTACTTACGAGCATTTAACGTTCAATCTTCGGATGAACTCGGTGAAAATAAAAGGTTAAATTTCAAGAAAACATATAGAAATGAAACATTGTTTAAAGTTCATTCAGAACCTAACCAAGATGGAAACAAACCTACTTTTGTTTCTGCAGACGATGGAACTACAATGAGATGGGGTCATAAAGCTAACCCGGATAGGTGGTTCATAAACTTACAACCACAATTCCAAGAAGTTGTAGACGCAATGGAAGTCAATGGTGAACCAGATATAGCTGGTATTTTCAGCGCGGCTTTAATGCCATTGAAAGATATGAAACATGCAGATATTTTGGACCAGTATGAAATGAACATGGCTGATGGAAATATAACACCTGACGTTCTAAAACATTTATCTCAAAGAACTACACAGAACCATAGAGATGGTATATTTGGTGAAGAGTTTAGAAAGAAAGTTAGGGAGGGCGAAGGAAGAGAACCTATTGTACATGACCTTGCAAACGAAAGTTTACAAAATGTCAATAAAAACTTACTTTGCAGACAATGAAATGAGAAGGGATGAATATTTAAGAAAACTCAAATGGACAGTACCAAATGAAATGTTAGTATTGAAAAACATGTTCCTTGACAAAATAAAACCAACTACAGAAATAAACGACGCAAGACTGAAAGATTGGGTAGAAGCCTTCCCATTCACAAAAGATATAGTTGGTAACATGGAAAGAAAACCAGAATGGCTACAAAACATATATTTGGAAACGAGCTTATTCATATGGACAGGCACTGTTTGAAGAGCTTGAACCGGAAACTCAGGAAAGAGTCATGCAAACAATACGCGAAGACTCAAATACAAACTATGACAAACTCTTTCTAGGATATAGGTTACCTGAGATGGGCGACCAGAGCCAAAAGGCAAAAAGGACATGGGAAATTTGCAACATACTAGATGAACATAATGCAAAGATGCAACAACTTCAAGCAGAGGGCAATGAAGGAAAAAGAAGAGTTAAAAACTCAGTCAGGAAGAAAGTAAAGCTTGGTCCACGTGGGTTTATTATGACATATAAATCCAACTATTCTATATTTTACTCATATGAAATGTACGCCGCTCAGAATATAACGCCAACAGTTTTGGATGCTATGAATGGAAATGTTTCCGAATGGTATAACGAATGCGACAATGCCATTAGAAGGTCAGAAATAGTTCCTGGAACTTACGAATATACAACTGCTGTTTCTTATGGAAACGTAGGTGAGTTTGGAGAAGGTTCTTCAACAACAGTAGATATTGCTTGCGACAGGTTTCATATAATTTCTATTGACAACTCTTTCTTATACGTGGAACAAGACATTGAAATAAAACCTTCTGCCAAGTTGTCTGACAAGAAAGGTTGCAATGGAATTTCTATGTCGGATACAATATGCTCCAGAAGTTTTCATGGATATAAGATATATTCTAACTCTGACTTAGTTCAAACAGTAACATGGGCAAACTATGAATGGTTCGCTTTGAGAAACTCAGTACAACCACAAGCTAGAGAACAAACAGACCAGTATGCAACTATTGAGAAAATAAGAAGACTTGACCTAACGTTCCAGGAGTTTATGTTAACCTTTCTGGACAAACTGCAGCAGCAGTAACCAAAGTAAAACTGAAACTTAGAGTTCCTTTGTCATCTTTCCTCATCTTCAGGTTTTTAAGATACTTGCCAAACTGGGCAGGAAAAATTTCTATTGAACTTACTCCAAGCAAAATAACTTAGTCATTGCACCAACACAAGACCCATTCACTATTACAGACGTAAGGGAACAAATAAAACGTCATTCGCCGAATTTTGCAAAGACAAAGTTGACTTAGACTTTGGTTTCTCAAACTTCAACACTGAAGTAAACTATTATTTCAATGCTGCTGGAACTGCTTGGGACCCAGTTAAGTTCACATGCGAAAAGTTTGAATGCAAGAGAATAGAAAGCAGACTTGCAGTCTATATGTTGGACCCAGATATTTCAAATGCTTTAGCTGCCAAATATATTGCAGTTCCACTTATGTTCCTATACACCAAATATCTGTCAAAGACTTTGCAGGTGAAGTTGGAAACCAAAGTGCTGACCCAGGTGCAAGAACAGATATTGCCTTAACAACTGCAATGAAACATGCAGATACTATGTTTGTACTGTTCAGACGAACTATAAATGACTATTCTTGCTTCTACAACCCTGGTATTAAATATCATATAAACATAGATGGCAAATACTATCCAAGAGAAGAATATTCTACAGTTGAGGATATGAGGTCATACAACTTGACATTAGATGCTATGAACTTTAACAACAACTTCACAACAACCATTAACCCTGAAATGCAAAGTTCTATTATGCCATATGTGAAAGTATGGACCCATACAGGAGCTCAAAACACTCAATATACAAATGGAGACCGTTCAAACTTTTGGCTTGGCATTCCATTTGCTGACTCAGAAGACTTTATGGGTGGTATTTCAACTGTTGGTACAGTTCAAATACAATATACTGGTGACAGAGACGGTCCAAATGAACTGAAAGCAAAGAAGTTTACAAAACCAATAGCACTTTTCACGGAAGATGCTCTTTTGAAGATTCGTTCGATGAAACCTGCTGGGGCTCCTCAGATTGGCATAACGACAGCTTCCATCGAGCAGATTTTGGCAGCAGGTCAGTAAGTTGTTCTTGAACTGACTTCTCTCCGTCAAATATTGACAGTACGCCAGTTTTGACATAAAATTGTAAGATAAACTTACCTTTAGAAATATCTGTAAGTTTTGAAGTTATATTTTTGTCTGCTTCAAGAACTTTCACCATTTCAGTTATACCAACTTTCTTTGCTTTATGAAAATATTTTGGTTCAGCAAAGACTGCTATTCTATAACATTTTCCATTGTTTGTATAAAGAACTATTCTGTCAATGAACTTGTATTGTTTGTGTGTGTAAACTTTGTTTTGCTTCAATTCGAAGAGATACTCAAATACGTCCATCTTTTTATTCTAAGTAAAATGTCATTTCCGAAAAATAGAAGCGTAAGTGTTTCAAAAGGTTTAATGGCGATGGCAGATGTGAAGTTAAATTCACCAACTCAAACAAACAGTCAAAGTGTTGTTGTCAATGTCAAAGAAAGAGATGTTGAAGTGGGGAAACCATACGAAGACGAAGATGGTATAACAATAGTTCCTGTAAAAGAACAACCAACATACCCTGAAGTTAGCAGAGACTTAAGTTCTGTTGCAGATATTCGAAACGACTACCAACAACTTAAAGACAAACTTAAAACTCAGGAGAAGATTTGTCAGGCTTTGGGTATAATGTTAAACTTGGTCGAACACAACCCTGTAAAAGTGAACTCATATGTCATTGCACCTCATGAAGTTTTGAAAGAACTATTGAAACTTTTGACAGAGGCAGACGATATAAACATCAAAGAAATAGAACCTGACATTGCTTGCTGTGGTGTTTCATATAATGTCATTGACAAGATATACGTTATGAAAGGAGGTGAAACCTTGAACTTAAAATATAGTTTCCCAGACGTCATAAAAATATTTGACGACCACAACATTTCATTAAAATTTACTTGCTAAGTAAAAATGGCAGAAGACATAGTGGTTTATACTATTACGACTAAAAACCCTGAGTCATATAATTCTATAACAACAAACTTACAAAGTCCTCAAGGACGATATTGTAAACTGACCTTAAACACGATGACGACTAAAGCCTGTTTTGCTCTTTTGACACCAGAAGACTTTGTTGTTGTGAATGGTAAAAAATACTTCTTTGAAGATACTTACTCAGATATACCACCAACAGGTTTTGTTGACTTATTTAATACTTTAAGGACGGATGTAACATGTGCTGCAACTAGAGCAGGTTTCATTATGTTTGGATGTCCGACTGAGTTTACTATAAACGATATGAGCTATAATACAAAACTTATATCTGGTTTTTACTACCAGCAGTTTCCTATAACAGGAAAAGGTGTCATACAAGGAATGTCTGTTCCATTGACTTTAAGCACACCTATTTTATATATTGTTTCAAACTTAGGTTCAAAGTGCTATTCGAATGTCGACAGAAACTACTATGACCAAAAGATACTCATGCGTATAAACAACACTTTCTCTGCTGGTTTGCCTATTGTTCATTCGAATGCAGAGTTTTCAGCTTTAGTAAACTCAAACACTTTAGCAAACATAACGTTGACATTAGTTGACGCAAACTTTGTTCCTGTAAAACTTTTATGTCCTATGTATTTGTCAATGACGGCAGAAAGTTTCGAATTGGAAGATGCAACTGGTGAAAGTATTGTACTACAAGAACAACTTCAACAACAAATAGCTCAAGAACAACAAATGCAACAAATGGAACAAATGCAACAACAAAGTCAAGAATAAAAAATGCAACAACAAAGTCAAGAATAAAACAGTATATTTTTATTTTATTTGAAATGTACGCTGAGTTTTGTTGGAGAAGACCGTTGGGAAACTTGTTTGTTACAGATGAGAAGTAAAACATTGCATGGAATAAAACATTTTTTCAAAAAAAATATTTTTTTATTTTATTTGAAATGTACGCTGAGTTTGTTGGAAAGGACCGTTGGGAAACTTGTTTGTTAGATGAGAAATATGAAATTCACTGTTGTGAGTCATTTGAAGTCAGAAACAAAAAGACAAAAAGAGTTTTAAGCGAATGGGAGCAAAATAACGGATATGCTAGGATGAGGATTGGTGGAAAACGCTATCTTAAACATGTTGTCATTGCAACTCATTTTATACCGAACCCTAACAATCTACCTTTTGTAGACCATATAAACCATATAAGAAACGACAATAGACTTGAAAATTTACGTTGGGTTACTCGTTCTGAAAACAATAAGAACAAAAGCAAATTTCGAGATATTGTATTCGAATTTGTCGACGAACTAGAAGATGAAACAATTGAAATTACAGACTATGGCAAGCATACGTTGGAGTTTTACTACTATAGCGAAGAACAAGACTCTTTCTACTTTTATACCGGCGTAAACTATAGAAAATTACAAGTATGTTTTACTAAGGAAGACTATGCTTTTGTAAACGCTAGAGATACAGATGGAAAATGCGTTAAAATACTTCTTAACAAATTCAAGAAGCTATATGGCATACCATTTTAAAACGTTTTAAAAAAAAATATATTTTTATCCGATAGAAAAGATGACGAAATATATTTCAGTCAACAAATATATGTCAGGACTTAAAGAAGAACTAGACCCATTCGCATATTTGAATGTTTACTTCTACCATTTTGAAAAGTCTACATATGACAAAGTTTGGAACATCGAACCGGTTAAGTTTGCTATTGTGACTAAAAATGGTGCGAAATTTGAAGACTTAGACATAGAAGGTTTGTTAGCAGTCAAAGAAAATTTTGACAGAAAGTTCTCAAACCTTAAAGAAGGTAAAGCATACAAACTTGTTATACCTTATGAACCAAAGAAAGCAGACGACTATGAATATTATGAGTCTAAGATAGTTGAAGTTCAAGGTAAATTAGGTAAAAAGATTTTAGAGTCTAAGCCAGTGTTTGCTCCTAAAGAGGAAGAGAACATTGACATTGACCCAGAAATGTTCTAAAAATAAAATTTTATTTTTACATGTCATATCTCACCTTCTCTGGTTCAGGTTCTTTCTTCTCTTCTACTTTTTTCTCTTTCTTTCCTCTCTTCTTCTTTTCTGGTGGAGTTATGTCAAATTTCTCAGAACCATATTTCTGTAAAAGTTCTTTGTCCTTTAATAGCTCTTCTATTCTGTTTTCTATTTCATCTTCAAGAACAGCGCATGTGTCTTCTTTGCATTCTAAGAACTTTTGTTGGACTTCATCTCTCCAAGAGGCGTCATCTCTGTCAACAAGTCTGTCATTGACAAATTTTAAGACTGCTCTGCTTAATGTTTTATGGTTCTTGTCATATTCCCAGAAACAGAACTTTAGAACAAATTCACCTTTCTTGTTTACACTATGTAAGATTTTATGGTCGACAGATGTTTTGCTGTCAAAAAGCTTGTCTCGAATATAGATAGCGAAATCGCTAGACATTTTCAAAAAGATAAAAATTTTAATTTTTCTAAAAATATGTTAGAAAAAAGTTTGCTGACATTGACAAGAAATTTGAGAATGTTTTAAATAAGAACAAGAGGAAGTTGGAAAATGCTCAGATAAAACCCATACATGACAAGTTCCTATTTGCTCAGAATGGTATAACAGGTCTAATCGCACCACCTGGGTCGGGTAAGACTTTCACTTATCTTAAAATGGCTGCACAACAACAAGAACTAGATGAGAAGAACCCATTCTATGAGTTAGTTGTTATTTGTAGTACTTCTGGTCAATTCGATCAAACCGTAAATTCGTTCAAAGATATTATAAAGAAGTCTAAGTTAGTATGTATAAAAGACTCTGAGTTGTTGGATTGGATAAAGAAGTACCAAAGAAGAGTTTTGAAGTATAATGCTATAAATGAGTATATAAATTCTAAGTTTAAAGACCCAAATGAGGAAATGCAGAGAATATTAGAGAAGAAACACTTCAGAAACAAACAGAAAGAGATAGAATACATTTCGAAGAAATTGCAATCTTACGATTGGAAGACTTACCCTCACAGATGTCTTCTTATCTTAGATGACTTTGCTTCTCATCCTTTGTTAAAGAACAGAGAACAAGATATGTGTCGAATTCTTAAGAAGCTCAGACACTTTAACATCTCAGTTGTCATTTGTGTACAGACAGCAAAGAGTTTAAGTAAGGATGTTAAAAGAATACTTACTGATATCATACTTTTCCCTGGATTGTCCGAAGACGATTTCATGGAACTTATGAAAGAGTCCATGGCAGGTAAGTTTGACAGACATGAACTATGGGAGAAGTACAAAGTCATACAAGACCCTCATACTTCTTTCAGAATTCACATCTACGCGAACAAAGTTCAAATTGTAAAAAGTCAAGCTTGAAAAATGTAAGTGTTTAGTCTTAGTCTGTTGTGGTGCTGGGGCTGTCGGTTCTTCTGGCTTTGGAATGGACTCGGTTGGTGGTACGTCGGACATTCGTTTGTGTCCTGTCGGATGGAAGAACTTTTCCAGTTGGAAGGAAGGACTCGGAATGTCGGAAGGAAGAACTTTTCCTGTTGGAAGGAAAAACTTTTCCAGTTGTCGGGAAAACTTTTTCTGTCGTTCGACCAAAAAGTTCTCAATTTTCGAAAATTTGAATGGTTTACGGACGAACAACAGGAAAATTTTTTCCAGTTGTCGGGAAATTTTTTTCCAGTTGTCGGGAAATTTTTTTCCTGTCGGAAGGAAGGACTCGGAATGTCGGAAGGATTTGACAAGACAATTTACCATCTAGAGCTACCTGAGCCATTTGAAGTCAAGCGTAAAAATAAAGAGTGCAATTTACTCTACTTGTTTGAAGTTGTCAAAATACTCTGTTATTTTTTCCTTTAACAATGGCAAATCTTCTTTGAAGGTAAGAATTGTACAACCTTTCATATCATAGTGTGTTTGAGGTAAAGTATCTTGAACTATTTGTTTCACATCTTCATTTGGGGTCATTGAAATCGGTAAGTTTTCGCGATAGAACCAATTTCTGTCAGATTTGTAAATCTTAGCAAGGTCGTAAAAGCTTTTGTTGTTTCTTCTGACTAAATGCAACATAACCATATCTCTGTCTTCTTCATTTTCCATCTCTTCAGTATAAATCATATACTTATAGTTCTTTTCCTTTCCTTTTGGTACCGAACGTGGTATTCTTTTCTGTATGTTTTTGTCTTTTGCTTCAAGCTTGTTCTCTAGCTCTTCACGTTCTTGTCTATGAATTTCGTCAAGAAGTTTACAAACATACCAAGCATAACGAGGCGAAGCCCACATTGCTACAGCATTTACAAGAAGTCTATGTACATAATATCCTCTCAAACCATTTGGCAATTTTTCACGATTTTCATAGAGTTTTGGCGACTGGGGTTTCTTCCCTACTCGCTGTTCTTCACTGTTTTCAGAAAAAAGTATGTCTCGCTGTGCTTCGCTCAAAAGTTCTTGTGTGCTTTGGTTCCTAAACCAGTCTTTAGGAAGCTTAGTATCTGGAGCAAAACATGCTGTCAAAATACTTTGCATTTGGTACATATCGTCTTTGACCGAACGAATGAGACGGAGTTGTTTGTTAAACTGTATGTACTCGTATTCTTCATTTATAGCTTCATGGACTATAACTGTTGTTGTGTTCTCTGTTGTTGACATATCTGTTCTTACAGACAAAATAAAAAAATAAAAAAAAATAAAATTAGCGTTATTTTCTATCTTGTATAAAAGACCAAAAATAAACGCTTTACATGTATTTTTCAGCAACTTCGTCAAATAATTTTATAGCTTTCTCTATCTCATCTACTTCAAACGTTTCTTTACCTTTTATGGGAGCACCATACATTTTCTCAAACTTTTCAAGCAGTTCTGTTTCTGCAGCTCTCATATCGTTAACAAACACAACCTTAACTCTATTGACTGTAGAGTCATATCTTTTAGTTATATTAAATGTTCTTCCTATCTTATATCTCTTTGTATTGAAGTCTTTCGGTTTCTGAACGATGTAAAGTAAGCCTTCACTGCAACGTTCCGTATCGAATGAACCATATGTTATGAAATTATATCCAACAACTGGGTCTAACCAGAACAAAACTACTGGTATAAGACTTTTGTCTATAAGATATGCTGTAGTTCCATGAAATCTTACCGATATCATAAGCTCAGGATTTCTTGTCAAAATTTTCTGAGATGAAGCATTTTTAACCCAGTCGTTTGTTTTCTTTCCAGATGGAGATATAATGTCTGACAAAGAAATTTTGTTGTATTTCTTTGAGTATCTTACGTTTAAATCACCAATTCTAACCAATTTAGTGTTATTGTCTATCTTTTTAACTGTTTCAAACTCAATGTTTAACATTTCCTGTTCTTACATACAAAATAAAAAAAAATATTTTAAAAAAACTAGCGTTAATTTTATTTTTTCTATCTTAAGGAAATTCATGAAATTTGGTCATTTTACTCAGAATTCAATAAAATATATTTTAGGCGACCAGGTCACTCGGTTAAATGAACTTCTCTGAAAAAGTGTGACAACATGACATTTTGACAACAACACAGGAAATATACTTCTTCGTAAATGTTTTGTCAAGACTTCTTCGTAATGAGCGTAAATCAGACAAAAATATATTTTAGGGTAGAAGGGTATATCTACCCCGTTTTCTACCCTCATTTCTACCCCAGTTATTTTATAAACGTTTTACATGGTAAACGTTATTTTTTAAATTTTGTGAAAACTCAACGGTTTGACACAAGCCCTAAAATATATTTTACTCAGAATTTTACTCAGAATTCAATAAAAATATATTTTAGGGTAGAAGGGTATATCTACCCCGTTTTCTACCCTCATTTCTACCCCAGTTATTTTATAAGCGTTTTACATGGTAAACATTGTGAATTCGTGAAATTCTAAACAGTTTTGTAGCTTCTATTTCTTCACGAAGGATATCGAATGTTTTCACAATGCCGAAAGTTTCTTTATATTTCTTCTTGACATCTGAAAGAAGGAAATCGTCAGCTGTTGGATAGTTTTTGTTTAGAAATGTCAACATGTCCATTTTATCTTCTGCTGGTTTCTCTGCCTCCCTCTTTAAGTCAGCATAGTCGTTTCGCATACGTTCTATCTCTTTGACGGAGTAGTTATATTTCCTCATTGCTGCTTTACATTTAGAACATTGTGGGTTCATTTTTGCGTTATATTCTGAAACCTTACCTGCTAGTATGACTAAGGCGTCAATTGCTCTCTTTAACTCAAAAGTTGCGGGTTTTATCTGTTCATTCCATATCTTACCTCTTCTATCTTTATCTCTTATCTGCCATACACATTCAGCAACTAACGAAACAAAGTTGTCGTAGGTCTTAAACTCCCCAGATTTGTATATGTCAGAGATGTTCTTATATACCATATCGCAATCTTTGTCCATGACTTTGTGGTTGTAATGAAATCCAAGAAACTCATAGTTTACATTACGTATGAACTTCTTTATTTCAACTGAGTCAGTCAGTCTGACTTCAATTTCATCGAATTCTGGAATAGTGAGCTTTTGTTGTTGGATTTCAGGAAGTTTAGGTAGATGGTCAATAATATCCTGCATTTCATAAAGATACTGTTCATTTGTTTCATCTTTTGCACTACAGTCTAAATCTCCTTGGAGAAGTTCCTGCTTTATCTTCTGGATTTCTGTTTCGAAAGTATATGAAGAAGGAATGAAGCTTTTCATCTCTACTAACATTGAAGTTGGGTTCATGACTAACGAGTTTGGTGCTGTTGTTGCTAACATGTTCTTACAATAAAAATAAAAAATATTTTTTGGTGGGACTACCTTTATTTTATTTCAGCACAAAATGAACGAGTTTGGTTTAAAAATACGGTGGAGCCAAAAATGGCTCGACCTCAAAACAAGCATTTTGTGAAGAATATACCAACCCGCGGAAAACGGCGGGTTGCTTTTTTTATACAAAATTCAAGAGTTTTGTGTGTTTTCTACGAGGGTAGAAAAGAGGGTAGAAAACGGGGTAGATATACCCTTCTACCCTAAAATATATTTTTGTCGAAAAAAAATGGTTCATTTACTCACAATATTTTTGTACAAAACGACCCCAAACTTTTAACTTCTTTTCTGCAGCTTCTAATGTTATCTTAGCGAGTTCATATTCTCTAAATTCTCTCTTTAAATCTTCTTGTTCCCATTGGTCTAGTTCGTATGGAGAATCTCTATAACCAGAACATATCTCACGTTCATGTTCTATTTGTTTTTCATGCATTTTTCTAACTTCTTCTTCAAACAAAGGTTTTGCATTCTCTACTGTATCTTCAAGTTCTTCTTCATCTAACTTCTCATGAACTTTCTTGTCTATGGAGTCCATAATTTTTCCAACTGCTATACAATATTTTGGAGAAGCCCACATTGCAATATAGTTTACGAGTCTTGGGTCTACATACATTCCTCTAACCTGTTTGATTTCATCCGGAATTCCTGCATGAACCTTGTATAAAAAGCAACCGTCGGAATTCCGGCGGTTGGTATATTCTTCACAAAATGCCGTATAATACTCTTCCCAGGACTTATTTTCCAACAACTTTCTAAAGTCTTTCCTAAACTGCTGACACATATTTGTTACATTTATATAACCATCCTTGTCTCTACGTAAGACTTCAATACCGTTGTAAGTGCCTTTTGTGAATGTTTCGCCATTAGATTTGTTCGTGAACGTTTTTGCTTCGACTGTCATACTGTTCTTACAATAAAAATAAAAAATATTTTTGGCTTAACCGTCGGACATTCGTTTGTGGCTTAACCGTCGGACCACAACGATAAAAATCTCTGCTCCTAGCAGTACTGCTACTGACAGTAGCAGTACTTTTACTGACAGTAGCAGTACTTTTTCTGACAGTAGCAGTACTTTATCGTCGAAAACCCTCTCAAATTTTCCTTTTTACTGCAACTAGCAGTACTTTTACTGCAACTAGCAGTACTTTTACTGACAGTAGCAGTACTTTTTCTGACAGTAGCAGTACTTTTACTGACAGTAGCAGTACTTTTACTGACAGTAGCAGTACTGCTAGTAGCAGAGATTTTTATCGTCCAACTTTACAAATGTAAACTCCTATCGTTCTATTTTCTTCACTAGGGTCTAACACCAAAGTAACCTTACAAATGTAAACTTATATCGTTCTATTTTCTTCACTAGGGTCTAACACCAAAGTAACCTATGTACATGAAATTTCACTGCATAAAAGGAAAAAACCTGCGCGAATCGAGATTTGAACCGAGGTCTTCGACGTCTGTAGCGAGGTAGCCCATACCACTGAGCTATGAGCCGCTTACATATTTTTAAGTAAAATATAGTATATTTGTCATACAGTGAAGGATGACCAAACTTAAAAAAAATAAAACTAAAATATATTTTTTTCTGTCTTAAGGAAATTCATGAAAATTCAAGAGGGTAGAAAAGAGGGTAGAAAACGGGGTAGATATACCCTTCTACCCTAAAATATATTTTTCAATACTTTTTCAGCACTTCTCCGTAGTTATATATGAAAGACAATTCGAGATAAAAGTCGTAGTACAATGGAATAATATGCTGCACACCGTTTGTTGTGAACCAAACTTGAAAGTCAGAGAAACTGTTACTAGGTGGTTCGTAGAATTTAGAAGCAAAGTCATAAAAGTCCTTACCAATACATAGAAAACTGTTGTTGCTTGAACTGAAACTTGCATGACACATAACATTTTGAGGGTCGAACACGTTTCTATAAACTGTCAAATCTGTTGGTGGGCGTATAAACCAGAACGGACCGTCAGGTGGTAATGGTTCGTTCTGGTTTAGTAACCGAAGAAATTGTGCCCAAGAACGTTTGTCTACTTGCCAAAATAAAAACTGTGTATCTCTTGGAGGGTTATTTTCAATCCTTTGAAATGAAACTGTGGAGTTCATCTTGTCATATTCTAGTTTCAGATAGTATGTTCCATTTAGTAAAGAGTCGTATTTTTCTTGAAATTCCCAATAATATTTGTTTATTTGAGTTTGAAAGTCATTTAGAGTCTTCTCAGAGACTTTCCGTCTGAACGAACCGTAAAGATTCTCATTTCGTCAAATTTGTCTAGTAGACCATCATGACCTCTATACCGCCCATGAAAATATACTGCGAACATAAATGCGTTAGTTCTTTTTGAAAACAAAACTCTTCTAAATCCTATTGCCTTTGCATCTGAAGGACTTTGAAGCCAACGAATTGGATACAAACCTGTAAGCACGGATGAAATTTCTTCACTCGAAATAGTCATACCGGCGTTTGTGAAGATATAGTCTAACGGTTTTGTATCTGCTGCTTTTGTTCTTTGTTTTTCAACCTGAAACATTTAATATATGTAAAAATATACTGTTTTAAAATAAATGTTTTAAAATGGTATGCCATATGAGCTTCTTGAATTTGTTAAGATATAGTCTAATGTATTTTCCATCTGTATCTCTAGCGTTTACATAAGCACAGCCTTCCTTAGTAAAACATACTTGTAATTTCCTAATGTTTACGCGCCGGTATAAAAGTAGAAAGAGTCCTGTTCTTCGCTATAGTAGTAAAACTCAAACGTATGCTTACCATAGTCTGTAATTTCAATTGCTTCATCTTCTAGTTCGTCGACAAATTCGAATACAATATCTCTAAATTTGCTTTTGTTCTTATTGTTTTCAGAACAAGTGACCCAACGTAAGTTTTCAAGTCTATTGTCGTTTCTTATACGGTTTATATGGTCTACAAAAGGTATAATTGTTAGGGTTTGGTAAAAATGAGTTGCAATGACAACATGTTTTTAAGATAGTGTTTTCCACCAATCCTCATCTAGCATATCCGTCATTTTGCTCCCATTCGCTTAAAACTCTTTTTGTCTTTTTGTTTCTGACTTCAAATGACTCACAACAGTGAATTTCATATTTCTCATCTAACAAACAAGTTTCCCAACGGTCTTCTCCAACAAACTCAGCGTACATTTCAAATAAAATAAAAAAATGTTTTTTTAAAAAAATGTTTTGTTTTTAAATGGTATGCCATTTCATATTTCTCATCTAACAAACAAGTTTCCCAACGGTCTTCTCCAACAAACTCAGCGTACATTTCAAATAAAAATAAAAAAATATATTTTTCCTTTACTTAACATAACCACCAGCTACCATAAGTCTTTGACGCCAACCCATACCAGCTAATGAAGGTTGACTTGGTTTAGTTTGGAAACTAAACTTTGGTTTTGGTTTATCTTCAGTTTTTGGTTTTTCTTCTTCTATCGGTTTTTCGTCACTTTTCGGTTCCTCTGACTTTACTTCACTTGCAGGAACAGTTGTGTCGTCAACATCTTCATAAATATCATATGCCATTTGTTTTTGTTTTCCTTTCAACTTTTTGTGTTTGTTGTAAAGTTTAGAATATTTTGACTCTAAGTCAATGAGATGTTCTATATGAACTGTTGGTCAGTGAAGAATACCTTCCATCTGTTGTCTCGAAAGCTCCTTCAGACTTCAATATTTTATTTGTGAGAGTCTGTTTCTTTTTTGAGATACTAGCCGTTCCATTTCTATGAAAAGTGACTTTATAGTTAGGGTTTGTATTTCCAGACCTGGCACCTTCTATTATTGAATTTTTCTCTTCATCTGTAAGTTCTTTGACAGGTTTTGACAATGGTTCTGAACTTTTTTGTTTGTGGTGTCAATCTACCGTTTCAACTTCTTCGGTCATTTCATCTCAGTAAAAATTTTAGTTTGGTTTGTTTTCAAACTGGTTGTTTAGGTTTTTTAAGTCGGTCGGTCTAAACTTCCTGAGGTATAGGAAGAACTTGACAAACACTGGTTGTGTAACTGCTGGAAGTCGACAAATCCATCTTGAACCCATTTGTCTCAAAGCTGTATTGTTCATTTCATCTCAGTAAAAAACTTTACATTCCCCACGTTGAGGCGGTTGCGGTTGGTTGTTGTTTACCCACTGTTGTGCATGGTTATATCCTCTGTTAAGAATCTTTCACCTTGGTCCATATAGTGTCCTGCTTGGTTATAGTAGTCATTTGCTTGTTATAGTAGTTTCCTGCTTCTCTTCTACATTGTCCATCCATCCTTGAACTTTTCCTCTTGTTTCAGGATTTGGAATAAGATTTGCTGCATCTCGTGCTACCTCCCAACCTTTCTGTACAGTTTGTATAATAGGCTGTGCTTTCTCTTTAAGTATACCTAATGTACTCAAAATCTTCCTTCCAATTCCAAATGCACCTCTGGCTATTGTTCCCACTGCGGGCAAAAATCTGGATGCAACTCCTGCTAATGCGCCCAAATAAACCCATTTCTTATAGGATTAAAAATGACGAATCCAAACAAGGACCTATGTTTCTAAAGGCAACAAAAAAAGCACTCATGATAAAAATCTTTAGTTCAACACCAA